CCAATGGAGGCCCCCAACCAGAGCCCAAGAAAAGCCCCCAAAAGGCCTTACACCAGTCCCAAAAGGCCTCCCAGGAGAGCCTCAAGAACGGCTCCAGAACGTCAGCGTCGTCGTCGTCGTCGTCGTCGTCGTCGTCGTCGTCGTCGTCGTCCCTGTGAGGGTCGGCGGCACCGGCCGTAAGGCCTTCCCAATACGACCGAGTCGTGCTCGCAAGGCCACAGTTCATCGTAAACTACGACGCGCTGGCGCTCCCGAGGCAACAAAATCTGGTACTACATGTGTATATGTGTTTGCGTATCTCTATACATATATATATAGATACATATACATATCTATATACACATATACATACAACGACCTTGTTTCTTCGAAGGCACACTACCCTTTCGCAAATCACGCCACATCCAATATGGATCGAAGGGGCCGCGGGGCCTCCTGAAGACCCCCACTGAGAGACTGAGAGGCCAAAGCTCGTTCACCATCTATGGGAACCCTGACGATTGCCTTCTAGCCTTCCAGCTTCTGCTCAGCGTTTGAGGCCAAATGGTGGCTCCGACGTGGCCCAAGAGAGCCCCGAGAAGGGCCCAAGGTATCCGGGTGTAGCACCCCATATCCCCTCAGCAACACCCTCGGCCACCCCGACGCCGAAAAAAAAAATGTTTCCGTGTTGCTACCCGAGGCCGAAGAAGACCGTGTGCCCGAAGTGCCACCCGACGCCGAAGAGGACCTCGTTTTCAAAACGGGGCCGTTCCGGGGTTCGAACCCGGGACCTCCCCGACCCAAACGGGGAATTTTACCTCTAGACCAAACGGCCGCTGAGTTTCGGTTTTCGAGTTTAAGATATCGGCAGCTTAGCACGGGGTCGGCCGGTCCTGAAGAGAGTGGGCCCTGGACCCCCGGGGCCTCCCTCGAAGGACGAGACCTCCATCCCGAGTCGCCCTCCGACGGTCCCACGGGCCCGCGGGCGGCCCCGAGAGCCCGAAGGCGGCGACAAAAACCGCAAGAACCCTTAGGCCAGCCGCCCCCGCCCGCTCGCCGCAACCCCGCTCGCCGCGAGAATGGCAACAACAACCCACAGCAGAGTCCGAAGCGACGAACTGGAGCTGCTGCTGCTGCAGCTGCGCACCGCTCAAGGCGAACGGAGAGAGAGGAAGAGAGAGAGAGAGAGAGACCTACCAGACCACCCCAACCCAACCCGAAGACCCGAACTCGACCCGAATTTCGCGTTGGGGGGGGGGACGGCCTCCTTCCGAAATGTTCCCCGACCCCCCCCCCCACTGGAAATGGAGGGCAAATTGAGGCCTTCGGGTTGGCGGGTATACCACCCCAACCCAACCAGAAGACCCGAATCTGACCCGCATTTCGGGTTGGGGGGGGGAACGGATTCCATGTGTTTCTCAACGTTCCCCGACCCCCCCCACACTGGAAATGGAAGGCAGATTGAGGCCTTCGGGCTGGGCTGGGGTGGTTTGGTGGGTGGTGAAAGGAGGGGGGCGCCCGGTTCCCCCCTCCGCGGCGGCCCCCCTCGCCTCTCCCTTTCAGGAGCGACAGAGGGACGTACGCGCACATGAATCCACGCTGGTTTCGAGAGCACACATTGCGCAAATGTTTGTAAAACCCGGCCGGTCTCGCGGATCGAGTGGCCGTGTTCCCGTGCAAAGCTGGGCGCGTAGGTCCTTTGTGGCCCCCCTGCCCTTCCCTTCCTCTTGCACTCGGAATTCCCCCGCGCCTCCGCGCCCCGGCCTCGCCCGGACGCGCCCGCGGATTGCCTCTGCAGCGCTGCGACGTTCAAAAAAAGAAATACTTGACGGGGCCCCGAGACACACAAATAAATACACACAAATAAAACGATTCCCCATATGTTCCAATATTTTCTGGGCTTCTGTCTTCCCTCCCACTTCCCATATCTTTCCCATGCCTTCTGGGGAATGGAAGATTAATTGCGTCTGCGTGTTTCTTTTCCTCCTGACAGCTCCCCTCGCTTAAAGGCAGGAGCTTCTTATGCAACTTAAGCTTAGCGCTGAGTACATCAAGTAACTTAGGCCACTTGCCGTTGCAAGTTAGTGTTACTTACTCAGTTACCTAGTAAGTTACTTAGGGTTTCAAATCTAAGTTACTCATGTGCTTCTTATAAGTACCACTAACTTTTTAAAGGAGGAGGGCGAGGAGGAGGGGGAAGGCGAGGGCGCGCGGCCAACTCAGCCGTTGTTCGCGGGCTTCTTCAGCGCAAGCGCGCCGCGTTCTTATCCTGCTTCTTCTTCTCCTTTTTCTCATCATGCTCCTTCTTCTTCTTATGTTGCCTTTCCTTCTCGCGCCGCGTCGCCGCCTCCAGCGCCGCCAGCGCCGCGTCGCGCTCCTGGGGCGCGATCTCCAGCTCGCGCTCGGCCCCGCTCAGCCACTGGTCCAGGTCGCGGACCCGCTGCAGCAAGCCGCGGTCGATCGCCTAGGCGAGGAGGAGGCGGGGGAGGAATAGGAGGGGGTGGAGGAGGAGGAGGATGGCGAGGAGGAGGAGGAGAAGGAGAAGGGGGGGACGACGAGGGAAAGGAAGAGCAGGAGGATGAGGAGATGGACGAGGAGGAGGAGGGGAGGAGGGAGAGAGGAGGAGGAGGAGGAGGAGGGGAAGAGGAGGGGGAAGGGGGAGGATGGGGGGACGAGGAGAAGGAGAGGAGGGGGAGGGGAGGAGGAGGATGAGGATGAGGAGGAGGAGGAGGAGGAGGAGGAGGAGGAGGAGGAAGGGGAGGGGGAGGAGGAGGAGAGGGAGGAGGAGGAGGAGGTGGGAAAAAGGATAAGGAGAAGTCGATGGGGGGAGGAGGAAGAGGATGAATAATAATAAGAAGAGAGCGATCGCTATCGCTGGATTGGAGGGGGGCGCGGGGCCTCCCGCACAGAGCGCCACTTCGACAGCTCGGCCTGCTGCTCGCGGTGCCACGCGACAAGCGCGACCAGCTGGCCCTCCATCGCAGCGGCCCGCGGAGCGCCCTGTCCTGCCCCCCCCCCCCCCCCCTCGCCTCCTGCAGCGATCGCCGTCGCTATCGTGATGCCCCCCCCACCCCTTTCTCCTCATCCTTCCCTCGTCGCCGCCCTCCTCCTACACCTCCTTCTGAAGCGGTCGCCGCCGCTCCGCCCAGGCGATCACCATCGCCCCCGCCATCGTTCAAGCGATCGCCATCGCTCCGCTCCATATCGCGCATATCCACTCATTCCTCCCTCCCGTAGGCGGTCGCCGCCGATCCGCCCAAGCGATCCCCATCGCTCGCCCCTCACCCTCCTCCTCTTCCCCCTCTTCCCTCCTTCCCCCTCATCCTTCCCCTCCCCATTCCCCCCTCCCCCTCCTCCTCAGGCGGTCGTCACCCGCTCCGCCCAAGCGATGCCCATCGCTCGATCCTCATCCTCTCCCTCCTCCTCCCCCCCCCCCTCCCACCCCCCATCCCCATCCCCCTCCCCCCCCCCCCTCCCCCTCCCGCCGCTCCACCCCCCCCCTCCTTCTCAGATCTCCCCTCCACTGAAAGCGGTCGCCACCGCTCCGCCCAAGCGATCGCCATCGCTCCCCCCGCTCTCATCAGCCTCCTGCGCATCAACGGCGCGGCGCGTCCTTCTTTATTTGTTTCCAGCAGCGGGCGCGCGCAATGGTATATTCGCCCTTGCGCAAGCGCCACGCCCAAACCGACGCCGTCAGGTCGGCGTCGGCAAACTTGATCACGAGGAGCTCGTTGATCACGCGGCCAGTGCTAACGCCGCTCCCGCGCGCGTGGATCTCGATCCCGCGCGCGACGATGTGCAAGTCGCCCGAAATGGCGGCGCGCGCGTCCACGACGAAGCTACCCAGCGATCGCAATCGCTACCCTCCATCATCCCACTACCTCCCTCAAGCGATCGCCATCGCTATCTCCACTCCTTCTCATCCCCCCTTGGCACGCCGCTGCGCACGCCCCGCGGCGAGGCGCGCCTGCCGCGCGGAGGGGCGCGCGCGGGGGAAAGGGAGGGGGAAGGGAGGAGGAGATGTCGGAAAGTTGTAAGTTCCGCATAAGTGTCACTAAGTTCTCCTCAGCTACTTAATGCTAAGTACACCCAAGTTACTTAGCTGCACATACTAAGTAACTTCACTCGGTGCTCAAATGCTGACACATACTTATAAATTCCCCGAGTGTACTTACAACGACAGCAAATACTTACAACACTTGCAAAATTCTAAAGTCACTTGCGAAACATATGCCCGAACACAAGTAACTTCAGCCCAGCCACAAACACCTCCCAACTAGGCTAAGAAACTCCAGCCTTTAAGCGGCGCCCGCTCCCCTCATGCCGACCGGAAGGTTCCAAAGGGGGTCTTTGGGGGAGGGGGGTTTTCCAGAGAGCCCCCCAGGGGCCTCGGAACCTCGTCAAAACAGGGGGTGCGAAGCCCCTGAAAGGGCCCCTCCTGGAAAACCCCTCCCCGAAAAAACCTCCTTTGGAACCCTCCGGGCCGATACCCCCGGCGTCTAGTTTTGCTCACCACGTCGACCCCCAGAGGGCTCGACCCCTCCCCCAGGACAGGCCTTCCATCCGGAGTCGCTTCGTCGACGGCCCCGCGGCCCGCAGCAAGGGGCCCCGGAGGCCGAAAACCTGCGAGAGACCTCCCGCCGCGATCTTTTGCCACAGGAGGCTCAGCATTGAGTCGGGCCTGTCCCTCTCATTCGAAAGTAGTAAAACAATAATCCGGGGACGTTTCCTTTACTATTTTTGGACCTGTTTGGCGCACTTGTAGGGTATTTTTGGAATGTGTCTCCCCAAATCCCCCTGTAGGGGCACAGGCCCGACCTCAGCCCAGCATGGCCAGAGTGAAGGGGCCCCAGGACACACAAATAAATACACACAAAGAAACAGATTCCCGATATCTTCCCACATCTTCTGGGCTTCTGTCTTCCCCCCCACTGCCCATATTCTCCCAGATTTTCTGGGGAGTCGAAGATTCATTGTGCCTGTGTGCTTCTCTTCCTCCTGAGAGAGGCAGGCCGCGCCGCCTCCGGGAGGCCCGGGCGGGCCCGGCGGGTAGACTCCCGGCGGCGCCGGCCACTGCGGCACGAAGTGCAGCCCGATGCGCTGCGCGCGCATCTTCCCGTCGGGCATCTTCCGCACCTCGCGGCGCGGGCCCCAAATAAAACAGGGCCGAGATCGGGATAAGTCGCTCCAGAGCGTTCCGGAGCGCTCTCGGAGCGCTCCGGAACGCTCTGGAGCGGCCGCGGCGCCCAATACGTCCTCCAAGCCCGCCGATTCTCAAGGATTTCGAGTTATCCCGATCCGATTTTGTCCCGATCTTCGCGTCGTTTTAGGCCCCGCGGGCCGGCCCCGCAGGCCAGCGCGCCTTCCGCGGCCGCCGCCGCCGCCGTGGGCTGCGGCGCCGCGGCCGTCGTCGGTCGTGGGCGCGCGGGCCGACCGTCCCTGGCATTCCTACCCGGACCCCCTCGCAGAATGACAAATCATGACGGGAGGTTTGTCTCAATTTTCGGCCTCCGGGGGCCTTCGCCGGGCCTCGGGAGCGTCAACAGACGACGCAGGATGCCAAGCCCGTCAAGGGGAAAGGGTCGGAACATCTTGGGGTCGACGTAGTGAAAAAATCATTACGTCGGGGGTCTGGGGATGGGCCTACCACGACATGTCTTCAGAGCCACAGAACGGTCTGAGCACAGAGATCGTGTGCTCAGAGCATGCAGCCGAGGGGCGAACGCACGACCGCCTGGGCCAGAAATAATCCGAGGACGTCTCGGACAAACCACAACAGGTTCTTAGAGCGCTCTTTCGGTGGGCCTACAGGCAGATCGGGACGCTTCGCCACTGTACGAGTCGTCGTCGTCGTCGTCGACGACGTTATTCCCACCTGGGGGGGTGGGCTGCTGGGGCTGTAAGACCACGGCCTAGTGGGGATGGGGATTGGTTAGAGGATTCTGACCTCGAGGCGACTGACGCCGTGAGCACCGATCGCAATGTCGTCAAAGAATCGCGGCCAGATTCCGCCGAACTCATCTGTCGGGCGCGCCGAAGAGGGGTCCAGGAAGAGGCGGTTGGCGCACCATGGCTCGAGGACTGTTCGCAGACGCGGCGAGGGGGGGGAAGACCAAGGGAAGCATTAAAAGAGGATACGCTGGCCACGCCTATCTGGGACCGTGATATCTCGACGCCCCCAGTCCTCGCCTCTCTTTTGGACGTCCCCGAAAAATCCTCCCGCGGCGCGGTATCTCGAGCCAGGACGATCCGCGATGGCCCCAAGGCCAGGAGTCGGAGCGGAGTCACCGCCGCCCTTCTTTAGAAGAGGAAGCGCCATAAACAGAAACTGTTGGCGCTCCGCGCGGGTTTCTTGGATCGAGCGCGCCAGGGGCGGCGCTGGAGGCGCCGCCAGGGGGTTCAGCGAAGATCCAAGAAATCCGCGCGGGGGCGGCGCTGGAGGCGCCGCCAGGGGGTTCAGCGTAGATCCAAGAAATCCGCGCGGAGCGCCAACAGTTTCTGTTTATGGCGTCCTTTCTTCTTCGATGCTTCGCGCTTTCCTTCGATTGTTCGTGGTTCTCTTCTTCGATTACTCGGCTATGCTTACTCCAGATTTCGTAATAAAAGGGAGGGGGTCTGGACCCTCCAAGACAAGCCATTTCAGACCCCCCCTCGTGGGAGAACCTTCCAAAACATCGTCCCCAGACCCCCCCAGGCCCTCCAAGATAGCCTGGAAGAGACCCCCCCCGAAATGAGACCCCCCTCCTCTTTATTACGAAATCTGGAGTATGCTAACGTCGTTCCTCCTTTTTCTTCTTCTTCTTCTTCTGTTATTACTCGTGTTCAGGGGCGCCAGTATGCCAAGGTCCTGACTCCAGCGGGCCAGAACCGCCGCCCGGAGAGCCGTGGCCCCCCGGTCGCCCCTCTGGGCACCAAAGCCGGGCCTCGTGTGCCGAGGCGCGTCCGGCCGCGGCGGCGGGCGCCAACGCGGAACCACCGCACACCATCGGAGGGTACACCCTGCGAAATGCTTAAGAAATCATGGCTTAAGAAATTCATAGTCTCAGAATTTGAATAAAAACCCAGAATGTCCATGACAATCTTGGGACTCCCATTGAAACATTAAGAATAATCGAGACTCTGGCCGAAAACTCAAGTTTTCTTAAGCATCGCCTGAGGTGTATGCCAAGACGTCAGGACTGATGAGAGCAGAAAGACCCACCACCACCAGAACTCCACAGAACTCCCTTCCCAAAGGCCCCCCCCTCCAAGCTGGTGGCACTTCGTTCCGGGCACTCTTGGGGGGCGAGAGCGGAACGGGGTGCCACCAGCTCAGGGAAGGGGAGTGGCCAGCCCCCTTAGCTGGTGGTAGTGGTTCAGCATCCTCTGGTGAAAAACACATCCAACATCTGCCGACAACACATGTGAGCGACGATCGAAAACGGGTCTTGCGCGATTTGACACAGCGACCTTACGCCGCAGCTTACGCGGGCCGCCAGCGCGGCACGCTACATTGAAGACGAAGGCGCTTACGCGCGACCTTACGCGGGCAGCTTACACGCCAATGTCGGTGAAGACGACCCCTTTTGTCTGCGTCGCCCATGCGGAAACACCGGAAAAACTGGAGCCACATACGAAAGCACCCGAACTCGATCGAGCTTGCCAGAGAAACTACAACTGCTGACGAACCATCCCAAGTGCTAGGAGGTGTAAGGCTGGCGCCTTCATCGATGACACACTGGCGGCGGGGCCAAGGGGGAGGTCAGAAGGGGGCGCGCCTTCCCAGAAGGCTCGGAAGGCCTCCAGCCTCCAAGAGCAGACTTCTGAGCCTTCTCCGAGGACGCAGAGTCCTTCTCAGAGGGCGCGAGGGTATCCGAGACCGCCGCCTTCTGAGAAGGCCTGCCCCCTGTCGCTTCCCCGGCGAGGAGGTAGGAACAGAGAGGAGGAGGAGGAGGAGGAGGAGGAGGAGGAGGAGGAGGAGGAGGAGGAGGAGGAGGAGGAGGAGGAGGAGGAGGAGGAGGAGGAGGGAGGAGCGAGGAGGGAGGCGAGCGAGCGAGGAGAGGCGAGAGGGAGGCGAGAGGAGGGGCGCGCCGACGCGAGCGCCAGGCTGGCACCCTCCACTGGGACACCAGCAAAGACGGAGAGCGCAGGGGGCCTCGAACTCCACCCGCTGGTCCACGAGCCGACCCCGCGGCGCCTCGCGCAGCTCGGGGGGGAGCTCGGACTTCAGGAAGAAAATATCCTGGACTCGGGCCGTCGTCGTCGTCGCCGCCGCCGCCGCCGTCGTCGTCGCCGTCGTCACCGCCGCCGCCGCCGCCGCCGTCGCCGTCGCCGTCGCCGTCGCCGTCGCCGTCGCCGTCGCCGTCGTCGTCGTCGTCGTCGTCGTCGTCGTCGTCGTCGTCGTCGTCGTCCCCCTTCAGGGTCGGACGTGAGACCTTCGCGATAACCTGCGCGCGGGCAGGGGGGGCCCGCAGGACGAGTCAGCAACAGCCACACGCGGGCAGCACGATGCGAAGCGGGTGCCAAAAAAGGAGCACGAGCCTTAGTCAGGATGACACAGCGAGCTTGCGCCGCTCGGCGGCGAGCGAGGGGGGGGAATGAGAGGAGGAGAAAGCCGTCTCAGACAGCGGCGGGGGCTTCTCAGAAGTTTTTGTCCGTCGCCGGGCAAGGCTCAGAAGACGTCTCAGAAGGCCAGGGAACTCCCGAGCCTTCTGAGAAGGCCTTCTCCTTCTCGCTTCCCCCCCCTGGCCATCGCTCAAGGTCCATTCCCTGTTTTTGTTAGGTTTCGTGCGTGGTTGTTCGCCAAATGGTCCTCGCCGATGGAAAAATGCACATATCGGAGCGATGCCGAGCCCCTCGCTCGCCGCCGAACCACGGCGGAGGCGGGCTGCCAGCGCGGCATGCCAGACTGGAAACGGGTGCGCCTGCGCGCCAGTCCCCGTGCAGGCTTCCCTGCTCTTCTGCGTCGCTCGAACGGCAAACTCCAATACGCGAGATCGGAAGCCGCACGCCTGGAGGAGGAGGAGGAGGAGCAGGAGGAGGAGGAGGAGGAGGAGGAGGAGGAGGAGGAGGAGGAGGGGGAGGCGGGGAAGAGGAGGAGGAGGAGGAGGAGGAGGAGAAGAGGGAGGAGGAGGAGGAGAGGAGGAGGAGGAGGAGGAGGAGGAGGAGGAGGAGGAGGAGGAGGAGCAGCAGGAGGAGAAGAAGCAGGAGGAGGAGGAGGAGGAGGAGGAGGAGTTGGAGGGCGGCGGGGCCGCGGCCCTGCTGCACACAGCCTGCGCGCGGGCCAGAGGGGAGCAATGGCGGGACAGGCCTTTCCTCCCCCACCCCCCCGCGGGGGGGGATCCTCAGAATCTGGCTGCCGCCCAGGCGTCGCACACACTCGGCGCGAACATTTCCACAGCGGCTGCACGGGGGAAGGGCCCCAACCGGCTTGCGTGGCCTGGCTGTGGCACACGGGTGCCTCGCGCACTCGCCGGAGCGCGCGCATATATCTGTGCGGCTAGAGATGGATCGGCGGCGGCCCTGGGGGAGCAGTGAGAAGGGGCGGGTCTTCTCAGAAGGCTCGGAAGTCCCCCGGCCGTCTAAGCCCTCCTCCCTCCTCCTCCCTCCTCCTCCTGCTCCTCCTCCTCCTCCTCCTCCTCTGAAACTTGCCCCAAGACACGCAGAGAACCTCGCAGAAGGCCCGAGGCCTTCTGGGCAGCCCCGCCGCCTCCCGAGCAGGCGGCCTCGCCCGCTCGCCCCCTCGCCCGCGTGCCGCCGAGCGGAGCGCGCCGCCTCGCTCTCACTTCCACCCCTCGCTCGCTGCCGAATGGAGGGCGTGCCGTGTTCTAACCAGCTTCAAACGTACCCCAGATTTCGTAATAAAGGGAGGGGGGTCTCATTTCGGGGGGGGTCTCTTCCAGGCTATCTTGAAGGGCCTGGGGGGGTCTGGGGACGATGTTTTGGAGAATTCTCCCACGGGGGGGGTCTGAAATGGCTTGTCTTGGAGGGTCCAGACCCCCTCCCTTTTATTACGAAATCCGGAGTACCCCTATCCCTAAGATGGGCGAGCAAAAAGCGAGGACAATCTTAGGGATAGGCCCTCAAAAACTGAGGGAATCCTTGAGATCGGCATCGAGGTGAGGTGATGTCAAACACAAGGATGGGGATATGTTTCAAACTGGTAAGTGTTCGGAATCGGGTGTTCAACCCAAGCGTAGAGGGCAGAACCTCCACCCCGATAAGAGCCACCCCCGCACGCGAAGCCGTTCAGCAAGCGCGCCCAAAGAAGGAATCAAACGGGGCAGACCTGTTTAGCAAACGCCCAGGGCCGTTTAGTAAACACCAATTGTCCAGTCCGGGTGGCTTTTCCTCCCTTGAAAGCGCACGCTCGCCCCAACAGCCTCCAACAGGTGGCGCCCGCTGCGGAGGCAGCGGCGGGGGCGCCCCTGCTGTGGAGGGCCCGCCCCGGGAAGGAGCGGCGCGGGAGACGGATAGGGAGCAACAAAGCTCGACCTGAGCGGTGTTATGGCGATTCTGTGGGCCGCTCTCGTTTTCATTCCGTTTTGCAGCAGGAGGTAGAGGGCAGACAATCCACCCTCATGATAAGTCGGGGATGGACAGACCTCCCTTTAGTAAAACGTGGTTTAGCGAAAACGACCTGAGGCCCAAACCTGGCGGGCGCAAGCCTGGAAAATAACGGCCGCGGCGCCCTCTCGAGAACCGAAAACGGACAATTCACTAATCGACGTGTCACTATTGGGGGTTCTGTCCACCCCCGAATAAGCACCCCGACAAGCGAAGCCGTTAAGCAAACGTGCCCAAGGGAGGAATCGAGTAGGGCAGGACCGTTTCGCAAACGCCCCAGTCGAGCTCTCGAGCTCTCGAGAAGTTCCCCCGCTGTTAGACGTATGATTTCTCGAGCGCTACGCCTGCAGATCAGGTGGAACTGCCGCCCGTCGTCCGGCTCGGGCCTGCTCCAAAAAAGGCTGCGGAAAGGAGCCGGAGCGGGCACGCGAACAGAGGGCATCCCCCATTGGTCCTCCTGCTGCTCATGCTCCGGTTCTTTCCCCTCGCACTCCTCCTTCTCCTGCCTCCCCCTATGATTCCCTGCTCTCCTCTCCACATATATGTATACATCTATATCTATATATATATATATATATATACATATATATGTATATATGTACTAGAACCAAGCGCGAACTTCGCGCGCGCTTAGGTTCTAGCAGGCCCCAGGCCGTGACGAGTTCACTGCTCCACTGAAGTAGTGGGCCAGAGATGGTTTGAGCGGGATGCGAGGAAGAAGTGCCCATAACGCTGAACGCATTACGGACAGTGAGAGGTCCATGCGCGTCAGTCCGTATGGCGGAAGGCCTTCGGGGAAGATCCTTGCGCAGGGGGTCGGAGGCCCCATGCATCGGGTTCCCGGGAGGCCTTCTGGGAACATGGTTTTTGGGGGCGTCTTGGGGACCCCGTTGGGGCGCGCCGTCGTCGTCGTCGTCGTCGTCGTCGTCGTCGTCGTCGTCGTCGTCGTCGTCGTCGTCGTCGTCGTCTTCGTCCTTTCGTCGTCTTCGTACTCGTCTTCGTCGCCGTCGTCGTCGGATGGGCCCCTCCCATCCGACGACGACGGCGACGAAGACGAATCCGACGACGACAAAACGACGAAGACGACGACGACGACGACAACGACGACGACGACAACGACGACGGCGCGATTCTCCACTCCGGATCGAAGCCCGACTACCCCGGGGTGCCCGAGAACGGCCCCCGAAAGCAGCAAGCGCCGAGCAACCGTGTCGAACATCGGAGCTCGAAGTTCGTCGTCGTCCTCGGCGGCGCCGCCGCCGCCGTCGTCGGCGGCAGGCGTCGGCAGAGAAGGCGATCAGTGATGCTCTCAGTCAACTTCCCAGACTACTCTCCGGTAGCGTGCTGGTACTTCGGAGCCTCCAGAGACTCTCGGGCCCATGTTGAACCGTGTCCCCGGAAGGCTTTCTGGGCACATGATTTGTTGGGGTGCGTTGGGGGGCCTCTTGGGCGTTCCCTGGGAGCCCCTTGGGGGCCACTTGGGGCTTTTTGGAGCCTTTTGAGAGCCTCACGGGGCTTCTTGGGAGCCACTTGTTTGCCTGCGGGCGCCGACTGGGGACCTCCAAAGCCAGAGACCTCGAAATATCGGTTCGTGGTCCCCCTCTGGGCTCCCTTCTGGCACGTTCTTGGGGCACACTTGGGTTGTCTGGGGAGTCTCCTGGGCTGTCTTGGGGCCCTCTTCGGGGCCGCGTGGGCCGTCTTTGAGCGATCTGAAGGGCCTCCGAGGCCGTGAGGGAGCGCTGGGAAGCGGGAAAAGCGAGATCGCCAAAATCCTCTCCAAACTTTGGAAAATGTAAGGCCCTCTTGGGGAGCCTCTTGAGGCCGTCCTGGAGCGTGTTGGGGTCCTCGTCGGCCGTCTTGAGGGCATCTTGGGCGTCTTCGCGGCCTCTTGGGACCGTCTTGAGCCCTCTTGGGGCCCCTTAGCCTGTCGTGGCCCATTTCGGGGCGGGCCCGGGCCGTCTCAAGAACTGTGGGACCTCCCCAGAACCCCCAGGGGCGCCCACAGGGGGTACACGCACCGGCCCGGCCTCTCCGATGTGTGTATATATATATATATATATATATATATATATATACATGCGTATACAAATATAAATACGAAGACAACGCGCGCGCTTCTCGCGCGCTCATGGGTACGCACGCCATCCCGCCATGATCACCACGTGGGAGCACATGCGCTATCGCGGGCATACATATCTGAATAGCGTCTCCCCGCCCAACTCGACAGATCATTCACACGGATCATGCCCTCAAGGAGTTCCACCGACGGCCCCCCACCCATCTCGGCACATGCCTCACAAGGATCGTGCCCCACAGAGAGCTCTACAGCCCAATTGCATAATAACGGCACACCCCTCAGACGGATAGTGCTGCCCCGCAGGTAACTGCACCTCAAGGGAAGCTTCGCATAGCGTCGCTCGACTCACGTCGGCACACCTATCACACGGATCGTGCCCTGCAGGGAGTTCGCATCCCCCCTGCTTACTTCGGCACGGGTCTCTCACTAATCGTGCCCCACATGGAGCTCCACTGACGGCCCCAGAGTTACGGTTTGCACAGCGCCCCCCCGGCCCGTTGCGGCACATCAAGGGGGAGCACCACCCACAGCCCCAGAGACAAAGCTTGCAAATCGTCCCTCTGCCCATGTCGGCACACTGTTCAAGCGACTCGCGCCCCGGAGCGAGCTCCACCCAGGGCACCAATTGGCAGCTTCGCATGGTGCCACCCCCCGCCACTTTTGGCACATACATCACACAGGCCGTGCCCCACAAGGATCTCCACCTGCAGCCTCAGTGGGCGGGATCGCGCGAGGGCACCTGGATTATTCGGCACCCCCTTCACGCGGATCGTGCCCCACACGGAATTCAGCCCGCCTGCGCGCGCCTGCTCCGCAACAGCCCGCTATCAGCTCAGTCCCGCGGCGCAAAATTTGTGAAAGAGGGCCGCGTCCTGCGCTACACGTACACGTGACAACATAGGGATGGGCCGGTCGCCAGACCAATTGTGTGCTTATCGAAAACGCCTACGGCGAATCACCGCCGCCCCGTGCCTTTTTGGAAGCGCCCATGTGGCCGAACGTTGAGGCCAGACCTGCCAAGCTATCAGACCATGTGTTCCCCGAATCGGTTTGGAAAGCCTTCGGGGAACACGTGGGCATCTTGAAGGTCATCTTGGCCGTCTGGAGGCCACTTTGACCCTTTCGAACCTTCTTGGAGGACGGCTTGGAGGGATCTTGGGCCGTCTTGGAGGCCATCTTGAGCATCTTGGAAGCATCTTGCCGTCTTGGGGGCCTCTTGGGGCCGTCTTGGGCCTCTTGGGAGATCTTTGGGGGCACTTGGGCCGTCTCGGGCCGTTGGAAGGCCGAACAAAAAGCAAATGCCGCAATCCTTCAAAAACTCATTGGAAATGAATGATTTTGGCGTTTGCGGCCCTTCCTGGGGGCCCCTTGGGCCGTCTTGGGCCATCTTAGGGCCATCTTCGGCCGTTTTGGTGTGCTCCTGCCCCGTTCGACGCCGTCGGAAGCTGTTTGGGGGGCCTCTCTGGGCCGACTTGGGGCCCTCTTGGAATGCTCCAGGGCCGTCTTGGAGGCCATCTTGGGCGTCTTAAAATCCTCCTGGGCCGTCTTGGTGCCCTCTTGGGGCCGTCTTTGGGGTCTCTTGGGCAGTTCTGGGGCCATCTTGGAGGCCCGTTGGGCGATCTTTGGGTGATCGTTGGGGGCTCTTGGGCCGTCTCGGGCCGTCGAAAGGCCCGAAAAAAAGCCAAACACCTAAGGAAAACCAGTGTTTTGGGCATTTTTGTCTGGCCTTCCTGGAGGCCCTCTTGGAGGCCTCTTGGGCCGTCTTGGGCCAACTTCGAGCCAACTTCGGCCATGTTGGTGGGCTCCTGGCCCGTCTGACGCCGTCGGAAGCCGTTTGGAGGGCCTCTCTGGGCCGACTTGGGGCCCTCTTGGGGTGCTCCAGGGCCGTCTTCGAGGCCATCTTGGGCGTCTTGGAGGCCTCTTGGGTAGTTTTTGTGCCCTCTTGGGGCCGTCTTGGGGGCCTCCTGGGCAGTCCTGAGGCCATCTTGGAGGCCTCTTGGGCGCTGTGAGGGCGATCTTGGGGGCCTGTTGGGCCGTCTTGGGTCGTCGAAAAGCCGAAAAGGTGCAAATACGAAAAACCTTTAAAAACCATTGGACAAATCAATGATTTTAGCCTCTTCGGGCCCTCCTGGAGGACCTCTCGGAGGCCTCTTGCGCCGTCTTCGAGGCCTCTTGGGCACCTCCTGGGCAGTCTTGGGCCGTCTTGGAGGTTTTTATGGGCGGACTTGGAGGCATCTCCTCCTCTCCTGGGCCGTCTTGGAGGCCATCTTGGGCGAACTTGGAGGCCATCTTGGAGGCCATCTTGGGCCAACGTGGCCATCTTGCAGGCGTCTGGGGCAAGAAAAATCCTTGGCAACCAGGTCCGGTCCATCCTCCCAGGACCCCGGCGGGACGGGCCGAAGCCCCAGGGGGAGTTCTTTTGGAAATAGAACCAAAACCAAAACCGAAATAGTCTGGCACGCCGCGCCGCACCCCTGCGATGAATCGACAGGGGGCGGCGGATCTGTGGCCTTCGGCCCTTGCTGCCACTGTGCCTGAGTTTTGGGCCAGAGGCTTCTTGGGTACCTGTAGTGAGGGATCTCCTGGCCTGCTTCTCGGGCGCTTCGTGGAGCAAGTTTTGAAACTTCTGATGTTTTGGGCGGCCAGGATGGCCAGAGGGAGGTCCTGGAGGCCCAAAAGGGGGGGGAATCCATGAAGATTTCCCGGCCCCAGGAACGGGCCCTGGGTACTCTGGTACACACAGACACACACACACACATCGATAAAAACACATATATACATATATATATGTATACATAGCGATGGAAGTGTGTCTCTTCTCCTCCCCTTCCTCTTTATCCCCTGTCGTCATTTCCCTTCTCATCCACCTGTTTGTTCCTTGGTTGTCGTGTTTGCTGATTCGACACACCATCGAGTTCTGCCTCTTCATCCTTTCCGCTTCTCCTCCTCCTTCTCCCCATATCTCTTCATCAACTCAATACTGCTGCTGCTTTCGCCCATACCCCATTTGCACGTTCCTTTCCGTGTTTCCTCCTCTAGTTTGCTCGTTATGGTAATGGTTATCCTTTGAAGCATCCTCCCGCATCTACCTCCTGCACCTCCTCCTCCTCCTCCTCTTCCTCCTCCTCCTCCACATCCATTTGTTATTACCCCCCTTCTCCTCCTCCTCCTCCTCCTCCTCCAGCTCCCCATCCTCATCCTCCTCCTCCTCCTCCTCCCCCTCCTCCTCCTCCTCCTCCTCCTCATCCTACTCCTCTTCCCTCTCCCTCTCCTCTCCCTCTCTCTCCTTCTCTCTCTCCGTCTCTCTCTCTCTCTATCTCTATCTCGCTCTCCTCATCGCGACCGAGGCTCTCTTACTCCTCCTCCTGCAACTGCAACTCCTCCTCCTCCTCCTCCTCCAAATCCTGGTCTGCAGCTGCAGGTTTCCGTTTCTTCGGTGCTGCTGCTCATCGTCCTCTCCTCTCACTCCTGACTCGCTCAGTCTCATGGCTCGCTCGGTCCTCGTCGATGCCGTCAGCCTTTATGAAGCCGAAGCCCTTGGCCTCATCATAAGTGACGATGGTCCCTGCCCGGGCGCACAACCAATACTGTGCGCGCTGCCGCGTATATCAAAACATCATGTGGTAAGAGCTCTTAGCGAACACGTGACGCGATGTCCACACGCGCGCACGCGTGCAGAAACATTGAGTGGGAGCGCCAGGCATGCAAACACTTCGACATGCAGGCATGTGACACATGCAAGCGTGCCGCGAAACTGGCTGCAGCTTTTTCCTGCCAGCGCGCACCTGCCGAACAAAAACGCCAGAGAATGCGAGGACGCCACACGGTCTCGCAATCGGCCCGCAACGCATTCCCAGACCCCCGACGTAATGATTTTTCATTACGTCGACCCCCAGAGGTCCCGACCCTTTCCCCATGACCGGCTTTGCATCCTGAGTCGTTGTTTGACGCTCCCGAAGCCCGGTGAGGGCCCCCGGAGGCCAAAAATTGAGAAAAACCTCCCGTCATGATTTTTTATTACTCGAGGGGGGTCTGGGTCTCATGCCACCGCGCGGCACACCCGCATGATCCAACACGCGCCCCGTGCACGAGCACGTGTCCCGTAGCAGAGTGCCGGGCCACGAGCGCGCGCGCGCCGCCGCGCGCGAGCCGAGAGCGCTCCTCAGCCATTGGCGCTCGAGAGCCATGCCGAGTCGCAGGTCCCTGGCCATCGCTCGGACGTCCATTCCCTGTGATTTTTTCGGTTTCGTGCGCTGTTTTCTCGCCGAATGATCAAGGATGCTCCTCGATGGTCCTCGCCAAAGGAAAAAAACACACGTCCGAGCGATGCCAAGTCTCTGGTCGGCCCGGAGCGGGCGGGACAGAGGAGCGCTGCAACAAGTGGTCACAGCGAGCACCGCTGCTCACCAGCAAGTCTGCCAGGCGTCTGGAACCCTCGCGCTTGCCATTCCTCGTCGCCCCCATCGGCGCCACCGCACCGCCGCCGCTGCTGCCATCGCCCCTCGCCACCATGGTCGACACCATCCGCCAAGCATCTTCACCGCCAGAACGTGGGCATCATCGCTGTCATCGTCGGCACCAGCGTCGGCGCCGTCGGTGGCCTCGCCGTCGTCATCGCTATCGGCACCACCATCGCTGCCATCATTCGGGAGCGGCCAAGAGGGGGGTGTCCAAAAGGGGGGGGTGCAAATCATGACCGGCGGCATGTGCGCGGCCCAGCGGGGGGGGGGCCAGGGACGTACTGAAATGAGAAGAGGCACCATGAAACCTGGGGAAATATCATGACCCCCGCCATGAGATCCCCCCCCCCCTAGTCATCACCCCCCTCTTTTGACTACCTACCAGACCACCCCAACCCAACCCGAAGACCCGAATCTGACCCGAATTTTGGGTTGGGGGGGGGGTACGGACTCCATATGTTTCTTCAGCGTTCCCCGACCCCCCCCAAACTGGAAATGGAAGGCAAATTGAAGGCTTCGGGTTGGGTTGGGGTGGTTTGGTGGGTGGTGATCTTTCCCGCCCCCGAATCATCATCGTTGCCGCCATTGCCCACGTCATCGTGCTACCTCGCCTTCCGTTGTACGCTCGTTCTGGGGACCTTCCTGGAGCCACTCGCTCCACTCGTGCGTCGAAGCTGCGTCGAACGTCAGTCGAGTTGGGTCGACCCTGAGTCGAACCTGAGTCGAACCTGATTCGAACTTGAGTCGAACTTGAGCCGAACTTGAGTCGAACTTGAGTCGAACTGGGGTCGAACAGATCCGTCAGGTGGGCTCCAGGAAGGTCCCCGAAACGAGCATCGAGCTTCCGGGTCACCGCCCCGCGCCGGAGAGCGCCCGCGCCCCGGCGCGGCAACTTCGGGACGCGCCCGGGGAGCTCCCGGTCTGCAAGCGCCATCGCGGCGCCGTCCGTGGCGACTTCTCGCCATCGCTCGGACGTCCATTCCCTGTGCTTTTTTCGGTTTCGTGCGTGGCTTTTTGTCGCCAAATGATCAAGGATGTTCCTCGATGGTCCTCGCCGAAAGAAAAATGCAAACGTCCGAGCGATGCCAAGACAAACCAGACGGCCGCTCTGCGTGCGAGCTGGCGCGCGTCAGCGCAGCCGAGTAATCACCGCAATCGCGGCAGCACGGGTGGTGCAGAACAAGATGCGTGTGGGAGGGTGGGATGGTTGCGCGAGCAAAGGAGTTGACAACTTCAAGCTAAGCAAGTTGGATTGCACCGGGTAGGTTGTATCACATTAGTACAGTGTGCCGAATAACGTGGACGTAAATATTGGAACAACCCACTGTTTGAGAACCACCTTGTCAAACGTTCGATGAGGTTGAACCCTTACGTGGTCGCACGCGCATCGACCTGGGCAGGCTCTAAAACGAAGAGTAGACAGCGCGCTCTGCCTGGAAGGCCATGGCAAAAAACGAGACACCTCTGCCCAGAGCTGACGCCTCGCGGCTCTCATCTCTGCAGCAATACAGTACGAGCAGAACACGTGCAGAAGGCGTGAACATAAGCTTGCGATGGTCCGCGCAGATGTTCGTCAGCGCTGGACCCCCCCCAACCCCCTGGCGCGCAAAGCGCGCCAGGGGCGGCGCCGCCGGAGGCGCGGCAGGAAAGGTCCAGCGCCACCTCAAGAAGTCTGCGCCGACCTCCGAAAGTGCATGCTTGGCTTCTGTGCCGATGATTCGTCGTCGCTGCGCTTCTGAGTCGCAGAACTTCTGCCCGCAGCCATGCGCTTCAAGCATTCGCATTAGATCATCCAGCCTTCCACAATGATCCCCCACTCGCCATGCTCGTCGTCGTCCTCCTCTTCCCCCTGTTCCAGGACTTCGTCGTCGCCCTCGTTGACTCCGGCGGCCGGCCGGCGTCGTCGTTCCCCTCATAGGTCTCCTAACTTCTCCTCCCTGCCACCTGCCCCGACCCACCCACCCACCCGATCTCGTTATCAGGTTGCTCCCCTTCTGTCTGTTTTCTCTATCCTGATTTTTTCTCTCGATCTTGCTCGCTCTCTCTCCTCATTTTCCCCACGATTAATCAACATGGAATCGGGGGATCGGACAAATTCGGAACGCGCTCGGGGATCTTCCGACCCAGGTCAATCCAGACCCGGGTCAGTCAAGCCTTTCAGAATCCTGCAAGATCCTGCAAAATCCTGCACCCAAACCCGGGTCAATGCGAAGGATCCTGCACAATCCTGCACCCAAAAACCGGGTCAGTGCGACCCTGGCCCTGCAGGATCCTGAAAGATCCCGCGCTCTGGCTGACCCCCGTTTGCATGGACCCCCGTCTCTTGAGCCCCGACGCGCTTCCAATCGGGCCGCACCGGCACGGAGTCGAAATCGATCCGGCTAACCCGCGCCAGCATGCGCAACAACGCTATGCAAGCATCGGGCCTCATCTGATCGCCAGAAACTGGAACCACATCGGATCGAGCTGGAGTCGATACCGAATCGGACCGACCATCTGGAAATGCATCCTGCCTTCTCTCTCTCTCTCACTCCCTATGTGTATATATATACACATATGTGCAGATATCTTTCCCAAACAGACATTTGAGGGACACAGAGACATGGCAACTGCGCGTCGCGAAACAACCGAAAAGCATGAGGAAGAAGCTGGAGCTTGAGGACCGGAATACATAACCCTCTCTCTCACACTATGTCTCTCTCTCTCTCTCGCTCGAATTGCTTTATTCATCTCTTTCCCTCTTTCTCTCTTTCTCTCTCTCCCGTTCTCCCCCTGCCTCTTCCCCCCTGCCATCGCCCGTCTCTCTCTCTCTCTCTCTCTCTCCTCTCTCTATATGTAAATATATGTTTATATATATATGTATATATATCTACCTTTCTCTCTCTCTGAGTTTGTTTCTTTTCTTGTTATGTATATCTCTCTGTCTCTCACACTCACTCACTCAATCTACCTCTCTCTCTCTCTCGCTCCTCTCCGCTGCCCTTTCTCCCTCAAGCTACCCCCGTGGACACCGCTGCCGTGCCTCGTCGTCGTCATCGCCGTCGCCTCCGCGGCCGCCGTGCCCAACATGCAACCACGACCCCGCGGTTGCTCCAACGAGGAACGAAGAAATGGCCTGGTCGTCGTCGTCGCGGCCGCCGTAGCCAACATGCCACCACGACGCCGCTGCCGCCATGGGAGGACTATCTCAGGGCGGGATACATCCACCTGGAATCGGCGATACGTCACCGAAAGATCGGCGATCCCCGATAGCGAGCCCTAACTTGGGCGCGGCCTAACCGACCCTTAGCAAACCATCCCCCATCGTGACCTCATCCTCGCCTTTCGAGCTTCCCTCTGGCCGCACACGTCCGTCCAGGGACGTGGCAGCGGGAGCGCCACGGAAGGGGATGTTTTGCTTGGGGTGTGTCGGGCCGCCTCTGACGACCGGGCCTGGGCGGGGTGGTGGGCGATGGGGGCTCGATGCAACCGGAGGATCGAGGAGGAGGAGGAGGAGGAGGAGGAGGAGGAGGAGGAGGAGTGGCCACCTCCTCCTCCTGGGGGGGAGGAGTAGTGCCCTCCTCCTCCTCCTCCTCCTCCTCCTCGATCCTCCTCCTGGGCGATGGGAGCCCGTCCCTCCCTGGCGCTGCCCCCGATCCGCGTGGGCACCGCCCTGGCCCCGGATGCGGCCCCAGGGCCGCCGAGACTGCCGAGGGACCCCCGCCGCGGATCCTTCCGCGCCACGCCCGGAGGCCCTGGCCGCCGCCGCCGCTGCCGCCGCATCCGCCGCCGCCGTCGTCGTCGTCGTCATCGTCGGCGTCGTCGTCGTCGTCGTCGTCTTCGTCGCCGCCGACGCCACCGCCGCCCTGTCGCTCGTCGCCGCCGCCGTCTTGCCGCCGCCGTCTTGCCGCCGCCGCCTTGCTCGTTTTGCCGTCGTCACCGCCGCCGTCGCCGTCTTGCCGCCGTCTTGCCGCCCTGTCGCTCGGCGCCGCCAGCGCCTCGTCGTCGCCTTCGCGTCCCACGGGCGCACGCCGCGCGCCGCCTGTGCTGAGGTTCCCACGCTGCCCCGGCGGCGGGCCCGGGGGCGGGCCCGGCGGGCCCGGTGGCGGCCCCGGCGGCGGCCGGGACGGCGCCATGGGCGGCGGCGCCATCGGCGGCCCCCGCGGGAAGACCTGAGCAGGAGCCAGAAACATCGAAGGAGAAAAAACGCCATAAGCATGAACTCTTGGCGCTCCGCGCAGATTTCTGGGATCCGCGCTGGAACTCCATCCTTGGCGCGCGGAGCGCGCCAGGGGCGGCCAAGCGCTGATCCAAGAAATCCGTGCGGAGCGCCAAAAGCTTGTCTTTATGCCGTTTCTCTTCTTCGAGAACAGTCGGTACCGAATCAGAAGATCGGACGGGATCGAGATGTGGGTCGGACTGGGCTGCAGCGGGGCACGGAGCCGAGGTCGAATCGCATCGGCCGCGCCAGGATGCACAACACCGCCACACAAACATAGGGCATCGGGCGGGCGGAAAATCGGAAACGAATCCGCTCGGACTGGCCCAAATCGAAACAGTCGAACCTACGACAGCAGATCATCACTCACGCAGTAGCACCTAGATGTACACAGTGGCACCCCGTTGCACCCGGTTGCGCCAAATTACACCCGAATGCACTTAAATGCACGTAGTTTCACAAATTCTACTGGACTGCCGATGCGGCACATGCGTTTCGCACAACGCTGCAACTAATCGGAACGGGACTGTAACTAATCCGAATGGGACTATCTCGGAAAGCCAAGGGCATCATCTGTAAAACAACCAAGAATGTTGTACATATTCTCACCCCCACATACGGGATCCCTCGTAATTTGCGTATAGACTTGTCCCCTTCTCCGTCGTCATCATCATCACCACCACCACCATCATCATCAGCATCATCAGCAGCATTATCACCATCATCACCATTAACAGCAGCATCATCATCACCATCATCATGGGCGAAAGACGCCCCCAAGGGGGGCCCACGAGCCCAACAAAAGGCTCCCAAGCCAGCCCAAGAGGCACCCAGGACGGCCAAGGGGCCGCCAGGATGCCTCGGCGGCCTTACCAGGCAACCCACCTACAGTGGCCCAGTACGCCCCCCCAAAAAATGCCCCCAACGGCCACCCGAGAGGCACCCGAACGCTCACTTCCCGAGGGCCGGTGGGACGCGCGAAGCGTTTAGAATCGGACTCGGCACCGACTGCGCCCGGCCCGCGGGCTCCTCCAGCCACGCCCTGCCCGACCATCTTGAGTGGCCTCCGCAGCAGTGCCCGCCGTCTTCCTGCGCCCGCCTGCTTTTGTCCCAACTATCCTGTGGTGTTGGGTCCGCCTTCTCTTTCCCAACCATCCAGTGGTGTTGGGCCCTCGTTCCGAAGAGACAGCGCCCCGCGTCTCCTCCTCTCCTCTCCCCCTGCCTCCTCCTCCTCCTCCTCCCTCCTCCAATCCCTTGCACCCCTCAGACGTTTCGAGGCCCCATAGGGAGCTCCACCGAGGGCTCCAGTGGCAGCGCCAGCATGCAGTTCCAACTCCATTTCGGCACACCCCTGGCACGCATCGTGGCCCAACAGGGAGTTCCACAGAAGGCCCCAGTAGCAGCGCCCGCATGCAGTTACATCCTCATTTCGGCACACCCCTCAAACGTTTCGTGGCCCTGTAGACACTCCACCGAAATCCCTTTGGCAGGGCCCGCATGCAGTTCCACCCTCATTTCGGTGCACCCCTCACAAGTTTCGTGGCCCCAACTCCACCGAGGGCCTCAGTGGCTGCGCCCGCATGCGGTTCCACCTTCCATGTCGTCGCACCCCTCACACGCTTCGAGGCCCCATAGGGAGCTCCACCTTAGGCGCGCCCGCATGCGCTTCCACCCTCCATACCGGTACCCCGCTCACACGTTTCGTGGCCCCATAGGGAGCTCCACATAATAATGCCCAAGTGGCAGCGCCTGCATGCGGTTCTTCCTGCCATGTCGGTGCACCGCTCACACGGCTCGTGGCCCCTTGAGGAGCTCCACCGGTGGCCTCAGTGGCAGCGCCCGCATGCGGTTCCAGCTTCAATTTCGGCGCACCTCCTCGAACGTTCCGTGGCCCCAGAGGGAGCTCCACCGAAGGCCCCACTTGCCGCGCCCGCGTGCGGCTCCTCCTTCTATTTCGGCGCACCCCTCAAACGTTCCGTGGTCCCCATACGGAGTTCCACCGAAGGCCCCAGTGGCAGCGCCTGCGTGCGGTTCCGACCTCGATTTCGGTGCACCGCTCACACGGATCGTGGTCCAATAGGGAGCTCCACCTAATAAGGCCCCAGTGGCAGCACCCGCATGCGATTCCACGCGCCATTTTGGAGCACCGCTCACACGGTTCGTGGCCACATAAGGAGCTCCACCGAGGGCAGCAGGGGCAGCGCCCGCATTCGATTCAACCCTCCATGTTGGCACACCCCTCGCACGCTCGGAGGCCCCATAAGGGGGCTCCACCAAAAGACCCAGTGACAACGCCCGCATGCGGTTCCACCTTCCATGTGCGCCCGCATGCAATTCCACGCTCGTTTCGGTGCACCTTTCACACGCTTCGTGGCCTCATAAGGAATTCCACCGAAGGCCCCGGTGGCAGCGCCCGCATGCATTTCCACCCGCGTGGCCCCATAAGGAACCCCAGCCAAGGCCCAGTGGCAGCGCCCGCATGCAGTTCCACTCCCATTTCGGTGCGCCCGTCGCCCGCGTCATGAGCCCATAGGGAGATCCACCGAAGACCTCAGAGGCAGCGCCCGCATGCGGTTCCGGTTCCACCTTCCATGTTGGCGACACCCTCACACGCTCCGTGGCCTGATAAGGTCATGCCACAAGGAGCTCCACCTTAGGCTCCAGAGGCAGCGCCCGCATGCGGTTCCACCCGCGATTTCGGCACACTTTTCGCACGTTTCGTGGCCCCGTCGGGAGCTCCATGGAGGGCCCCAGTCGCACCTATCGCTTGCCACCCTCCTTCATTTCACTCCCCCCGCGATGCTCGAAGGTCCTGGTGGCAGCGCCCGCATGGTGTCCCCCCGCCAGGTGCTGGCACACCATTCACGCGCTTCGCGGTCCCAAGCAAAGACTTACCGAAGACGCTACTCACGACGACGCTACTCACAACTGCATACGACTGTGCCCGTCGCCAAGCCTATTCCTGGGCAAGTTGTAGGAGGCGAGCGGCACGTGCCAACCACGGGGCGGGGAGGCCCGCGGCCGGCAACGCTTGCTTGGCGCGTCGCCATTGCGGCCCCGACGGCACACCAATGCCCTGCGAGCGGATGGAGCATCGCTCCGCTCCGCGGGGCGGGGGGCTGGGGAAAGCCTGGGGCGTGGCCGCTTGGGGGCCGGGAAGTTGACGTGGACGGCGCGCCGCGCCGAAGCGGCTTCGCGTGGCGGGCCAGCACCCGCGCAGCGACGCGCTGTCCAAAAAAGGCCCCGGGCCGTAGTGAGATGAGGCACCCGGGGCTTTTGAAGGGGCCCCAGGACACACAAATAAATACACACAAGTGAAAATATCTTCCATATTTTCCCATACTTTCTGGATTTCGGTCTTCCCCCCCCACTTCCCATATTTCCCTACACTTTCTGGGGAATCGAAGAGTAATTGTGTCTGTGTGTGTTCTTTTCCTCCTGGGCTCTGGCCTGCAGCAGCGTTGCCGCTGTCTCCGCCCGAATCACTACGTCCGGGCGCAGGTCGCCGAAGTCGTCGCCCATCACCTGCACGGCTTCTCGGGGCAGCGGCTCTGCGACCCCCACGTCGCCCTTGGCTTGCATCATGTCGGGCCTGTCCCCCTACAGGGGGATTTTCGACGAAAAATTAAACATACCCCAAAACTAATCCAAAAAGGTAAGAAAAAATCCCCAGACGATCTTTCAACTATTTTTTGATCATGTTCGGGGTATGTTTTATTTTTCGTCGACAATCCCCTTGTGTGGGGGACAGGCCCGACTTCAGGCTTGCACCCAGAGGCCAAATTTGCCGACCGAGGTCAGTGCGTCCGGGTGCCAGTGGCCGAACATTTCGCACCTCCCGCGCAGGGCCTCCGCGCTCTACCGGTCGCCCCTGGCCCGCAGCCAAGAGGCCCAAACTGCCGACCGACTTCGGCGTCTGCGGGTGCCGGCCGTCGAACACCTCGCGCCTCCGCTGCAGGGCCTCGCGGAGCAACGGCTCTGCGCCTTCCAGGCCTCCCTGGGCGCCCGGCAGCCTGGCGAGTCCAATGATCAGCTCTGACATGGCGCGCCGCTCTGCCAGCAACCCCCCGAAAGCCGCCCGCCCCTGTTCTGCCAGCCAGCCGCGAAGCGCTGAGCAGACGGTCGCGTTGACCTCTCCGAAACCGCCCCCCAGCTGGGCCACCTCGCCAAGACTGTAGGCCCCGTCGTCTGCCTTGCTGATCTGGGCGTCGCGCGCGTTCAAAACGGAAACGATCGCGGCGATCTCATCAAAACGACTCGTCGTCAATGGTTTCAACCCGTCGACATCGCCAGGTCCATGCACGACGAGAAATGTTGCACGCTTGGCCAGCGCATTCACGAACTCAAACATACAGCGCACTTGCGTAATGGCATCTGGACCTCGACGCCCCCATTTATGAGGTGGGCCGCCGAAGTCGGGCAACAGGCAGGGGCGCGACGGCCCGCACCACTTCTCCGCGAGCGAGGCGTAGAGAAGGAGGTCCCGAATCGCCCCCACGGCGTCGCCGACGATGTTGTCGGTGTCATCCTTCCGCTCGTTGTGGCCTGGCCTGCTCCTCGGGTGCTTCAGTACATCGCGGAACTCGCCAGCCAGCTGAATCTGAGACGCGGCAAACATGTCGACCCAGCCATAGCGGCGCGCGCCGTCAATAGCCTCCAAATCGGAAGCCATGCGATCGATCGCCGCCTGCAGATTCCCCTGACAATATGAGAAGAAGGTCGCCGCACGACCGACGAATGCGCTGGCGTCTTCGCCCAACCCCTCGGCCACGATTGCCATGGTCTCCGCAAGAGAAAGCCCAGCGAAGCGCATGAGGGCGCACGCGCTGACGCTGAACATGGTTTCCTTGCGCGCGTCGCCCGCCCCTTTGTCGAGCCCCCCGCGCTCGGCGTAGAAAGCACGCGCAGCCCGCAGCGTGTCGAGGCTAAAACCTCGATGGCCGCTGGGCAGCCGCTCCAAATGCGCGCGGACCGGCTTCTCCAGGCCGGGGATCGACGCGGCCAGCGCCTCTCCAGAGCCCTCAGAGGCGGCTTCCATGGGGGAGGGTAGTCCCCAATGGCGCCCACCGTGACGAACCTCTGCTCCCCCGCGCAACAAGCGAACACTGCGAACGCTAGTTATGCGTGGATCGGCCTAGCCTGCGCGCCAAATGTGGCGCCTGGCGAAGGGCGGCGCACGCGTTGGGAGGCAGAGGAGCTCCAGGCCTGGGCCGAGTTTGCATATGACTGCTGCTGACATGCACGTCGGCGAGTGCGAATCCAGCTGAGCCAAGAAGTTTGAGCTCAACATGCTGATCTCGTCTATCACCAGCCACTTCCACTGCGACGCTCGCTGAGCGGACTTATCTTTCTTCGTCTTCTGCGGGGGTCGGCGGGGGGACCCCGTGCGGAAGGTGACCCTAGCGCAGAGACAAGCAGACAGCGCTGCACACACCCCGCGATGATCCCACCGGCCTTCTGGGCGCCAGAGGCCAAAAGGGCTCGCCTTCCCACTGCCTCCCCATCCCCAGGCCTTAGTGGGCCCTGGAAACGACAAGGCCGTTTTTGTCACCGGTTCCGTTTTGCCGTTTTCTGCCGGTTCCGACGCCGTTTTTTTACAAGTTCCGTCGCCGTTGCTTGACGGGTTCCGGCTCCAGTTCCAATCCTGGAGCCGTTTTTGTTGCCGTTTCCGGTCGCCTTTTCTACCGTTTCCATTTTCGAGGGACATTTTTTCAGAAACGGTGTAAAAACGGCCCTGACGTTTCCGGAGCCCACAGAGCCCCAGGCCTCCCACTGCTCCTCGTTCGTGGGCACCCGACCCCTCGAAAACCGCTCAGAACAGCGCCCCTCTGGGCTGGCCTCTCGAGGTCCGCGCGCCCGGCCGCTGGCTCCCGCACGACGCTCGAGGACCACGCCGACGATGCCGCCGCCCTCTTGACGCCGAGGGTGGACGTCTGAAGGGGGACGCCGAGGGTGGGCGTCTGAGGGGGGACGCTCAGAGACCCAGACATGCTCGCGTCGGGAGAACCACCCAGAGGAGGAGGACGGGGAGGAGGAGGAGGAGGAGGAGGAGGAGGAGGAGGAGGAGGAGGAGGAGGGAGGAGGAGGAGGAGGAGGAGGAGGAGGAGGAGGAGAGGAGGAGGAGGAGGAGGAGGAGGAGGGGGAGGGAGGAGGAGGAGGAGGAGGAGGAGGAGGAGGGAGAGGAGGAGGAGGAGGAGGAGGAGACCGTGGTGGTGGGAAATGGGCCCCCCCAATTGCAACGGGCTGGGGCCTCCGGGGCCCGTGTGCCGAAAAACCAGGACGTTGCGCGCCTGGGGACATGTCGGGATCCGGAGCCCCTCGCGGCCTCGAGGGGTGCGCGCTGCGATGCGACGGGCGCCGCCGGCCACCGACGCAGCGAAACGAGCAACCCTGGCCGCGCAGGGCTATTTGGTCACGCCCGCCACGCCAGCCTCCGGCTGCAAGGGGAACGTTTGGGGGAGGGGACGGCTCTGAAGGGGAACTGGGACACACAAAGAACATAGACACAAATAACAAGATTCTCCGTATTGTCTAATATTTTCTGGGTTTGTGTCTTCCCCCCCACTTCCCATATTTTCCCATATTTTCTCCGGAATCGACGATGAATTGTGTGTCTGTGTACTTTTTTCCCTCCTGAGGCTCATGGGGGGGGCAACCATCGAGCTGCAATCGGCGATGCATCGCGGGTAGATCGGCGATGGATCCCCGATGGCCCATGGCGAACCCGCGCGCTCCCGGGGCAGGTGGCTGTCGGGTCCCCGTCGGCGATGACTGGGCGACTGTCGGGCACACGCTAGTATGGACTACCCGTCGGTCAGAACAGGTGGGTAGAAACAGGAAGCAGGAAGGCTTTGGACACAGGTGGGACCTCCGCCCGCCCCCCATTGTGAGGAGGGAAGAAGGACAGCCGCTCGACCCTTGAAGCAGGAAGGCGCGAGAGGCAGATTGGGACCTGGATCTCCCCAAATACTTCAAATCTCGCAATAGCGGGGAGCGGGTCCAACATGTGCTTGCCAGCGCGCCTGGGGCCCCTCCCAAGAGCGGTGCAACAACGGGCCCAGCACCGAACCCCCAACCACGTCTGACGAGGCACGCTGGCACGCGATATCCTCCCCCAAAAAATGCGGCCAGTGCCGCCTCGATTCGGCGGCGGACATCCGCGACTTCCCATGGAAGCGGGACCCGTCGCTAATCCACGCCCCCTTTGAAGATCGCCTGAACTGTGAGAGCCAGGGTGTCCACTGCCAGCGGCCGGCGCGCAATGATCTGAGAAGATCATGGGCGTGGGCGCCATATCCACGGATCAGGAAAGGCCCGCCGCGCTCATCCGTGCGCCCACCCTCAGTGGGTGCGCTCCCTCGAGATGCAAGGGCCAATGCGTGCCCCCCTCTAAGCCTACCATTAGATCGGGCATGTCCTCCTACAGGCGGATATTGGACGAACAATGACAAATAAGCAAAAATACTTCACAAAATTACCCCAGTGCGACCCTACCTAGAAGTTGGAGCCCCTAGGAAAACAGCATGAGTTGCTATGCTATGCTATGCTATGCCATGCCATGCTATGCTGCGCTGTGCTATGCTATGCTATGATGTGCTATGCTATGCTATGCTATGCTGCGCTGTGCTGTGCTATGCTGTGCTGTGCTGCGCTATGCTCAGCTATGCTATGCCATGCCATGCTATGCTATGCTGGGCTATGCTATGATATGCGATGCTTCGCTATGCTATGCTACGCTATGCTATGATATGCTGTGCTCTGCTATGCTAAAGCTCAGCGGAGCTAAGATGAAGGTCAGCTAAGCTAAGATAAAACTGAGGTAAGATGAAGCTAAGCTAAGCTAATATGAAATAAGCTAAGCTAAGATGAGATAAACAACGCGAAGCTAACGGAATGTCACTGGGGCAACCGCGGGGCGGATGCCGGGGGAACCGCCCGGGGCGCATTCCACTGCCCGGCCCTTTAAGCCTCAGAGTAAGAACCCTCCTAGGCAGAGCCTAGCTAGGTAGGGAAATAATCAAAATATCGTCCCCTGACAATTTTTGTTCTACTATTTTGGAATATTCCCCCTAGAGAGCGACGTGCCCGACTTACGCCTACCACCCCGCTAGCGCTGCCGCTTGGCTTTCGAGCCACAACTCGACGCTCTCCCGGATTTTTTCTTTCCGAGGGTTGCCAGAGGTGCCCCTGCCCCAATGTAGCCTCCAGCGTGTCGCTCCACTTTGAAGCCCCTCGGGCCCTCTGGGTCTCGTGAGGGGTGCTCTGGAGGCCGTGGGGGCCTGCCGGAAATCCTGGGGGCACCTTGGGCCAGGGGCACTCCCAACAGGTCGGGAGCGGCCAAGAGGGGGGTGTCCAAGAGGGGGGGTGCAAATCATGACCGGCGGCATGTGCGTGGCCCAGCGGGGGGGCCAGGGACGCAATGAAATGAGAAGAGGCGCCATGAAATCTGGGGAAATATCATGGCCCCCGCCATGATATCCACCCCTCCTAGTCATCACCCCCCTCTTTGCCGCCCCCGAAACAGCACCCGAGCTCTCGGCATGATCCGGGCCTCCCCCGCGGCACGCTCTCGGAGAGGCGCACATGCTGGAGACCTCCCCGTGGCTGCACAAGACCGCCGACGACCAACGCCGCCGCCCGAAGGCCTCGCATCTCGAACCCGCAAGAGCCTCCCTTCTGAGCATCTCCCGACCTGAGCGTCGAAGGCAAGCGGGTTCGGGGATGGACAGACCCCCCTTTAGTAAAACGTGGTTTAGTGAAAACGACCTGAGGCCCAAACCTGGCGGGCGCAAGCCTGGAAAATAACGGCCACGGCGCCCTCTCGAGAACCGAAAACGGACAATTCACTAATCGACGTGTCACTGTTGGGGGTTCTGTCCACCCCCGACGGATCTTACGCGAGATGACGCCGTTCCTCACAGGTCTGGCCTGAGCGACAGCAAGAAACAGGACCTACGCCGCGGCTTACGCGAGCGTGGCACGCCGCGTGGAGAGGAAGGCGCCCACGCGTGACCTTACGAGGGCAGCCCGCGCGCGAGTGCCGGCACAATCGAGCTCCTCTGGGGAAACCGAAAGGTACCGATACCGCTGCTCCCCGGACCACTCCTGGGGTGCGTCCTGACCAGAATCTCGAAGCGAATCCGGCGGTGGCGACGAGGGCCGCCCAGGAGGCCCCAAAAAGGGGGAGAACGAGCGAAGGGTAGAGGCATGGCTACCTCTTCCGCCTCTGATCCTCGTTCTGCGTCGCTCATCTGCCTGGCGTTGCCCCCGACCTCTGCGCGCCGCCGGCCCCGCGACAGAGGGCAAGAGTGAAGGGGCCCTGGGACACACAAATAAATAGACACAGTTAACAGGATTCTCCATACTTCCCCACATGTTCTGGCTTTTTGTCTTCCCCCCCGCTTCCCATATTTTCCCAAATTTTCCTTGTAGTCGACGCTCGGACGTCCATTTCCTGTGTTTTTTTTCGGTTTCGTGCGTGGTTTGTTCGCGAAATAATCAAGGATGCTCCTCGATGGTCCTCGCCGAAGGAAAAATGTACACGTCCGAGCGATGCCAAGTTCCTTGGAGTCGACGATTGATTGTGACTGCGTGTTTTTTTCCCCTCGCGAGACAGGCGGGCGCAGGCCCTCCCACTGGAGCGCACGGCGCGGGCGCGACGGGCGCGAGGGCCGCCGAGGGCGCCGCCCGCTGCGCCCGCGGCTTCCCTTCGGCGTTGACGGTGACCTCGGGCGGCTGGCGGGATTCAGGGAGGGGAAATCGACCTCCTCCCTCCTCCTATTGATTATTCTTCTCCTCCTCCTCCTCCTCCTCCTCCTCCTCCTCCTCCTCCTCCAAACGCACGCGCTCGGGCGACCGGGGCTGTGGCGCGGCCTCGGCTCGGGGGTCGCGAAGGGTGCCCCTGGCCCACGGCGAAGGGAAGCGAGAAGCCCTGGCTCCGAAGAGGCCCCGCGGGGGGGCGGGACCTTGCAGTTGTCGGCCTCTGGGGTGAAGTCGGGCCTGTAGAGGCACAGGCCCGACTTCGCCCCGGAGGCCGACGACTGCGAAAATCCTCCGCCTGGACTTTCCCACTGCGCTGGAGCTCTGGGTGCGCGTGGCGGCGTCTCCCCCACGGCGACTGCTTTGGACGCGCGAAATGGATACGGCAAAAATTGGTACAATGCCCAACAACAAATGTTGTCCCAAACCAGCAGCGGCCGCTGCTAGGCAGTCGGCCTTCTGTCTCAAATGGACACAGGCCGCGGCGGCGCGGACAGCGAGTCCTGCTGAAGACGAGCAGGAACTGCTGTGGGGCATCGTGCTGTTCGAGGCCGCGCTGCTGGCCGTCTGAGACGCACTGCTAGACAACGGGGCACTGGAAGTCAAGCTGGTGGACGATGCAGATATGCAGCTGGTCACGTTCGAAATAGCCGTCGTGCTGCTGGTGCCGCTCGTACAAGCCGTCGGAGTACTCGTTTCGGTCACCGTGGTATTGAATGACCCTGACGTCTCCGTCAGTGTCGTGCCGCGGCTTACCTTAGATGCTGGCCGGCGCGGGTGTTGCTCAATAGTGTCGCATTCGAGGGCATGCGGCACAAACCGCGATGCTCGTCACGGCCACGCACAAGCGGCTGCTCGATGTCGTTGTGGAAGTGGCCGTGGACGTCGCGCTGCGCGGGATCGTGCTGTCCGCGACCGTGCTGCTCGAGGTCGCAGTGCAGGTCAGCTGAGGCGTACTGCGAGACAGCGAAGCACGAGAAGCCGAGGTGGTGGACGAAGCAGTTGTGCTGCTGGTCACGCTCGAGCAGGCCGTCGTGCATCTGGTGCCGCTCGGAATAGCCGCCGAAGAACTCGTCTCAACGCCGCATTGCTCGAGCCGTACTGTCTCTGGTCATGCTGTTCGAGGGCGCACTGCTGATCGCCTGTGACACCTGCGGACGAGAATACACTGAAGTCACGGTGGCGGACAATCAGTTGTGCGGCTGGTCACGCCGGGCAAATCGTCGTGCTGTTGGAGCCGCTCGTACTGGCCGCCAGACCTCGGCTGGTGGGGATACGCAAATCGCCAGAATTTTGCGGATCGACGCTGGCCCCCCTCCCTGGCGCGCTCCGCGCGCCAGGGGCGGCGCCGGAGCCGCCACCAGGAGCCCCCAGCTCTGATCCAAGACTGGGGGCAAGGGGAGGCGGCCCCGACCGAAAAGAGGTCGGGGAGGTGCTCTGGGTTATGTTTTCCCATCGTACTTCAGGACCACATCCCAGACACAATTTCGAGCACCCAGAAGAAAAGTATCGAAACAATGTCGAACGAGCATCGTCTCCCAGGGCCCGACACGCGGAAGCCCTCCAGTTTCGGTACTTTCCTGGTGCTCGAAAGTCTTTCTGGTGCTCGAGGCTAGAGTTGGTTGGACCATCATAAGCAGTACGTTGTCCTTCGCTTCACTGCGCCAACCTTGCAGATGTGCTGCAGTGGATTTTTGTCTGGATTCCTGCCAATGCGAAACCCCTAAACAGCGAACGAAAAACGAAACGAATTTCACGTGGATGTTTGTTTTGTCGTCATTCCTGACACACACAAAATCCGCACGGAATCCACTTCGAAATCCGGAGCGACATTCTGCAGGGCTCTCTCTCTCTCTCTCTCTCTCTCTCTCCGGGCCCATCCTGTCGTTCTCTGGACGACATCCGCTCTGCGATGTTGGCGCCACGATTCGTGGCTGGGGGGCAAGGGGAGGCGACCCCGACCTTTGAGCAGGGACTGACCGTCCTGGCATTCTGATAGTCCTACCACGAAATGTTCTTAGAACCCACAGATGTTCTAACAAAAACAATATTCCTAGAACATGAGCCCGATGTGCTAAACCCAGACAGTCTCAATCAGAAATGTTCTAAGAACACTTCGTGCAAACCACGAAAGGTTCTTAACATATTCTTTGGTGGGGCTACAGGCGAGCCAGGACGCTTCGCCACTTCGATGTTGGCGCCATGATTCGTGGCTGGGGGACAAGGGAGTTAGACGAACGCGTTCCACTACTCGCAAGCTGACTCCTCGCAAGTGGCCCAGGTCCGCCGCGGGGGATCTGCGATACATCACATCGAAGCAGGTATGTGATTTTTCGGACGCTTGCGAGTAGGCTTATGTCGGGCGTGTCCCCCTAAAGGGGGATTTTCGACGAAAAATAAGAAATACCCCAAACATACACAACAAAGGCAAAACAATACTCAAACAATAGTTAGTCCACAGACTATGTTTGGACTATTTTTGGGGCATCGTGGGGGTATCTTTTATTTCTCGTCGAAAGTCCCCCTGTAGGGGGACAGGCCCGACTTCAGAGTAGGTACCTTGCGAGTAGTGGATCGCGCTCGGTGAGGGAGGCGACCCCGACCGAGGAGAGGTCGGGGAGCCGTTGTGGCCGCGCGGCACGCCGTGGCTTAACGGGCGAAGAACGGTATAAAATAAACTTTTTCGTTGTCGGGGGCGCCTGTCCCTGGGCGGCTGGAGGGGTCGGGGAGGCGCCGTGGCCGCGCGGCACGCCGTGGCGCCGCGGCCCTGCCTCGCCGCTGCCTCGCGCGGCCGGCGGCCGCCACCCCCCGCCGAGCGGGGGGCCTCCACCTCCACCTCGGCGTTCACGAGGCCGCCGCCCCTGCGGGAGCCCCTCCCTGCCTCTCTCCTCCTCCTCCTGCTCCTCCTCCTGCTCCTCCTCCCTCTCCCTCCTCCTCCTCCCTCCCTCCTCTCCTCCTCCTCCTCCCTCCCTCCTCCCTCCCTCCTCCTCCTCCTCCCTCCTCCCTCCTCTTCCTCCCTCCCTCCTCCTCCTCCTCCTCGTCCTCCTCCCTCCTCCTCCCTCCCGCCTGCTCCTCTCTCTGGGTAGTCGAAGCCAATCTGGCGCCAATCTGGCAGGCCCAATCTGGCAAACGGGGGCAATCTGGCGAGGGAGCCAACGCGAATCCAGTCTGGCGAATAACCCAAATCATCAAGTTTGGCCGGGCCAGATTGGCCCTTGGGGCCCAATCCAGTCTGACAGTCTGGCCTTCGACTACCCAGTCTCTCCGCCATAAGCACAAGCTCGTGGCGCTCCGCGCGGATGCCTTGGATCTGCGCCGGCCCCCCCTCCCTGGCGCGCGGAGCGCGCCAGGGGCGGCGCCGGAGGCGCCGCCAGGGGCCCCCCCAGCGCGGATCCGAGAAACCCGCGGGGAGCGCCAAAAGTTTATGTTAACTCCTGCTCCTATTCCTCCTCCTACGCGTTCTTTTCTTCATTGGCCAAGTCGCGCACACGAGGTCACACGTGTATGGCGCTGTTCCTTCTTCGACCGCGGGAGCCTCTGCCTCCCGCTCTCCCCCTTCCCACTCGCCGTCCCTCTGCCTCTTGTTGTTTGCTGTGCACACCCGTGTGGATCATACGGGTCTATGCGCATTCGCAGTATCACCTTTTCAGTTGTGCAGATCTATCTGCCACCGCTCTTGCAGCGATTAGCGTGCGTCGGGCTCTTTCGCTTGTTCTGCGTGCGAAGCAACAAGAAGGGCCTCCCCGACGCATCGAGCTCAAGATGGGTCGATGTTTGCGGCCACGTACCTGCATGATTAGGCCTTCAAGAGAGAAAGCGGTCTCGAGCACAGAGCTTGGGGAAGGGGGGGTTCGTGGACCATCTCCCCCCCCTCCAAGGCGCCCCCCGCCCACCCGCCCGCCCGAGCACGGTGGCGGAATCGGACGGCAGCGCAACTGGATCTATATATATATATGTATCTATATACACACACGCACACACACTCAGATCGCACGTGCGTGCCCAGGCTCATACAAAACGAACTGCAGCACGTACGCATCGCATGAAGTTAACACGAAGAGGAATACGAAGCCTGATCCGAGGAGGAGGATGCGGAAGAGGATGCGGATGAGGAGGAGGAGGCAGAGGAGGAAGGAGATGGAGACGCAGATGAAAAAGGAAAACAGGAGGATCGTGAGGATCACCAGGGGGCTGCTGTGAAGCAGCGGGATCGTAGTCCAACGCTGGTGGGGTTGGCACACCTTGCGATGTGTGTGGCGCAGCAGTGCTCCGCACCTTGCAGTCGCAGCTGCGAACTCGCCAGCCCAGCGGGCCAGAGGCGTGCGAAAACCTCCGGCATGAGTCTAAGCATATTTATACGTCGCGCGCGCGTGGCGGCACCTGGGCGTCCCCGGACGAAGAGTACCCCAGCACGGTTCCAGCAAGATCGGACCAAGATGCCTGAACACCTGGGCGCGGCCTCGGGGCCCCCGGAGCGCCCCAATGAGGCGCAAGGCCGCAGGCCGAGAGCGTTCTAAAACGGCCCACGTTGGTCCCAAGACGGCCCAAGAAGCGCCCGAGATGATCCCAAAGGGTTCCAAGAGGACTTCCAGAGGCCCCGAAGACGCACAAATCATTGATTTTGAATGTGTTTCGGACGATTTCGGTGGTATCGCCTTTTCGAGCTGTCGACCGCCCTGGACGGCGCTCCAAAGCGGCTCAAAAAGCCTCCAAGAAGGCTCCCGAATGGCCCAAGATGGCCCCATGAAAACCCAAGAGGCCTCCTAGACTTCTCCAAGATGGCCACAAGAGGGGGTCCAGAGAGGGAATCCAGACAGAGATTTCGGGCGTTCGGCCCCAAGAGACACCCAGGAAGCCCCCAGGCCCCCAAGAGCCCCCCAAGAAGCTCCAAGGTCCTCGAGAGGCTCCAAACAAATATCCCAAAAGACCCCCAACAGGCCCCCAGGAAGCCCCAAGAGGCCCCCAAGAACCCCCCCCCGAGAGGCTTCAAAACTGCTCCCCAGCTGCTCCCGAGGGCCCTCCGAAGAGACCACAAGAAGCATCCATGAGGACTCTGGCGCGCACAGCACAGATACATCTTGGAACTCTGCTGACGCTCTCTTGAACCATCTTGGCGCCCTCTGGGGCGGTCTATCGGCTCTCCCTGACAGGGTGTGAGCCCCATCTCCGGAGACCTCCCCGAAAACAATCCTGTCTGCCCTGAGGTTACGTCTGGGCGCGATCACACCACCACGCAGCCACAGTGATGCGAAATGGGCCGGCGGAGTGGAGGAAACGATCGATACACGCTCCGAAATCATTTTCCCGATGATGTGCCGAATGAAACTGACGTTATGAAGGATAGGAGGACAACTTTGAACACGCCAAGTTTCAACTGGGCGGGATCTCTCACACGGAACGGCTGCTGTTTTAACGATGAGTTGTGTGTGTAAACATATTATTGTCATATGAGGATGATCCATGATATGTTTGGAAAATGCCGTCGCGACCTGCGTGAAGGGTGCAATCGGTTTTCATGAATTTGAAGATGTTCCGAACGGAACAGCCGAACAAATCGCGAACGGGAACCCAATTCATCGCGACTATGCTCTACTCCCTCGGAGAGGCGCGTACGTTCATGTACAGATGTACATACAAACATAAGAGAAAGCGCGCTTCACCGGCGCTTGCCTTGGGAACGTTCCGCGGCGCGTTTCAAACTGCGGGGTGGGCCCCTGCCCCAACACTCGGCGCCGTCTACGAAAACCAGGGGGGCCCCCCTCCCCCTCAACCCCCCCCCCCCCCCCCCCCCCCCCCCCCGCCCACGGGGGGGGGGGTCAAAACTCCTCCCCCCCCCCGGCGCCGGCTCGCCAGCGCTGGCGGCCGCCAGCAGCGCCGACGGCGGGGACGCAGCGACGATGACCAGAGGCAGCCCAAGGGGGCGGGGGGAGATTCCAAAACCCCCCCCCCTCCTGGCGCCTGCGCCGGCGCTGGCGGCGGCCAGCAACGCCGGCGCTGGCGCCAGCGACGGCGGGGACGCAGCGACGATTACCACCGCTACCACAACCACCACCACTACCACCACCCCCGCCTCAACCCACCACCACCGCCAGCAACCAACCACACAACAACCACCACCACCACAGCCACTACCACCACAACCACCACCACCACAACTCACCATCATCACCACCACCACAAGAACCCACGACCGCTACCACCACCACCACCACCACAATCTACCACACCACTACCACCACCGCCACATATACCACCACTACCAGCAGCACAACCCACCACCACCACCACAAACCACCACACCACTACCAACACTACCACCACCACCGCCGCCACCACCACCACCACCACCACCACAAACCACCGCCACCACCACAACCCTCACCACCACCACCACCACCACCACAAACCACCACCACACCACCACCAAACCACCACCACCACCACCACAACCCACCAACGCAACCACCAACACCACAAACCACACCACAACCAAACCAAACCACCACCACCACCACCACCACCACCACCACCAACACCCACCACCACAACCACCACCACCACCACCACAAACTACCACACCACCACCACAACCACCACCACCGCCACCACTATCACCACAACCCACCACCACCACCACCACCGTCGTCCTCGTCGACGCTCCCCGCCGTCGCCCGCCGGCCGCCGCAGGCGCCAGCGCCGGCCCAGAGAAGGAAATCGTCGTCCCCGCCGCCGCCAGCCGCCGCCGCCGCCAGGAGGGGGGGGGTCGAAACTACCCCCCCCGTCCGTGACGGGAGGGGGGGGGGGTTCGAACCCCCCCCGTCCTGCCAGGGGGTGGGGAGGGTCAGGTTCCACCCGCCCCCCTTCCAAGCGACCACAGAACGCGCTCTGCACACATGCATACATGGAAATACATGTGCATGTATACGTACATGCATATACAACATCGATTCACGCACACACCTCCGCCACGGTGCTGCAGGCACTGCGTGGAGTGCCCTCAAGCCCCCTCGAGGTGGAAATGTAAGAACCAGGGAAGGCCCCAGACGTCGGATTTCTGGGCGTTTCCAGGAATCCCCGCGTGACTTTCGGAGCGCCCCGTGCGATTTCCCCAGAAGTGCAAGCAAATACTTGTTTTTCAATGTTTCGGGTCCAGGAGGGGGGAACACGCGCTCACCCTGGAAGCCATCCAATGCCAGGATGGTACCGGAGAGCGCCAAAAGGCCCTCAAGAGGCCCCAAGAGGAGCTGACGAGAACCCCAAGAAGCTTCTGCGAGGCATCCCGAGACATCTCGTACAGACACCGGTGCACCAGGAGGAGGGTCAACGGTATGGGGCGGGCCAGCTCAGGGAGGGGAATCATCGAACTGGAATCCCACCAGCCCTCTGGGCGTCCGTGGTTTAGGGCGTTTCCTCTTCCACCCCTCCTTCTTCCCCTTCGGGGAGGGGTTTGCCCCTCCCCCTACCCCCCCCTGGACCTGGACGGGGGGTGGTCGCGAGTCGTCGGAGCGTCCAACACGGCCTCGGCGAGGAAGCCCAAATCATTGGTTATACTACGGTTTTGGCCCCATTTTGGCCTCCAGAGAGAGGGGACCCAAATTAACGCTCCCCTCTTGTTTGATCGATCTCCTCCAAGATGGCCCCAAGAAGCGCCCAGGAGGCCGCAAGAGGTCCCAAGATGGGCCCCAAGATGGCCCCCAAGAGACCCCAAGAGGCCCCAGGAGGCGCCCCAGAGGCACCCAAGATGCTCCAAGAGGCCTCGGCGAGAATGCCAAATCATTGATTTTACAGAAAAGTGTTAGCCACATGTTGGCCTCTTGGGCGGGAGCACTGATTAAGATGACTCTAAGAGCGCCTGGGAGAGCCCAAAATGACCTCCAAGATAGCTCAAGATATCCCAAGATGTCTCAGAATGGCTTCCTCTGTGTGCTGCCCACTTCCCTAATCGAGGCAATTCCTCTGGACATCGTTTCTGGATGGGCTGGTGGGGATTCGCGAAGCGTCAACAATTGACGATGCAGCGCCGATAGATCGGCGATAGAACCGCAATAACAACTCCGCAAGGTCATGGTCGCGACGGACTATCAGGCCCCTATCGGCGATGACTGGGCGATTGGGGTCGATATATCCCCCCTTGAGCCTATCCCCCCTTGACGATCCCACGGGCTTTCGGGCCTTGACTCGGCTCTCCGGCGGCCGTTCGGGACGATCCGAGCATCCCCAGAACGCTCTCGGCGAGGCGCAGTCGCGGAAAGGCATCCCGAGGCTGGAAAGCCGCGGGGAACCGACGAGCACGTCCGAAAACCTTCGACCTCGAACCTCCGTTTCGTCACTGCCCCCGGGAAGCCCTCCCTCGGCTGAGCGCACGGAGCGGCCCTGGGTAAGAGCGACCTTTGGTGCTTGGCTTTCTGGGGGGCCGCGGGGGGAACACACACACACACACACGAGCGCGCCGGCCGCTACTGTCGCATCACGTTCGGCGATCGGGAGGCCCCGATGGGCCCGCACAAAAGGTCACTCTGGCGAAGGGTCATTCTTACGTGTAGTCGACTCCTGAGGCCGCTCGACGAGCCCCGGGGCGGCCCAGGCTCCTAGCCTGAGGTTGGGCATGTCCCCCCCTACAGGTGGATTTTGGAGGAAGAACCTCAACAATAATTCACAAAATGCACCAAACTAGCAAAAACAATGCCCAAACATCGTCCCCAGACCATTGTTTAAGTATTTTTAAAACATACTCCTCCTGTGGAGGGCTCCCGTGGAGACGGGAGCGGGAGTTGGCCTCTGCTCGAGCGCACGAGCGCACCGTCCCAGGCCCCTGGTGGCCGGGGGGGGGGGATGTCGATGCCCGTCCCAGGCTTCCGCAGGGTCTGAGCGTGGACCAGAAATCTGGCGGCCAACCCTGGGGTATTGGAGGGGAACTGGGACACACCAATAAATACACACTCATAAAAAGATCCCCCATATTTTTCCATCTGGGTCTTTGTCTTCCCCCCCACTTCCCATATTTTCCCATATTTTCCTGGGGATCGACGATTGATTGTGTCTGTGTGTTTTTTCCCCTCCTGAGTAGGGTCTGAGGGTGGACCAGAAATCTGGCGGCCAACCCTGGGATATACAGTGCGGGCGCGGCCGCAAGAAACCCTCGCAAGAAAACCAACCCCGAGAACCCGCGCGCGAGGTGCACCTGAGGGGAAACACGGAGCACCCTGAACGCAGCAGCTCCTTCAACGGCTGCGGGAAGTCACCGCGCAGCGCGAGGAGCGAAGAAACCCAGGATACCCTGACGAAAAGCTTATGGTTTTTTGCTGCGCGCCCCCACTGTGCGATGGGGGGCTCCCATCCTCGGTAAGGGGTGCGGCCGAATAGACCCCCTGGGGGTGTATCCTAGGATCAGCTCGGGCATGTCCTCCTGCAGGAAGACGTTGAAGGGGGAACAAAGCAAACGATCATCAAACATAGGCAACACACCACGAAGAATCGTCATCAGATTATTGTTGTGCAATTCTTGATTATCCCTCCTGTAAGGGGACGTGCCCGACTTTATCCTAGGGTTTCCCTCCTTACCTGAGCGGCTTCATTTTTCGTAGAAAAATCACCCGCGACCTGAAGAGGCCCAAGGACACACACACAAACAAATACCCACAAATCCCAGGACGACCTGTATTTTTCTCATACTGTCTTGACTTTCGCCACGATTGTTTGTGTCTGTGTGTAGAGGCCTCCTAAATGGGGGCGCAGCAGATGGGGTCGGAGGATCGCTCCGCATCCCCGATGCATCTGCAATGTATCGGCGGTGCATTGGCGATGCGTCAGCGATGTCGGCGATGCATCGGCGACGTCGACGTGGAGAACAGCGGGCTCCACAGCGAGCCGCATCGCCGATGCATCGGCGATGCGGCGCGACCCTCCGACCCCACCTGCTCGGACCCCGCCTGGGAGGCCTAGAGTTAGGTCGGGCCTGTCCCCCTACAGGCGGTTCTTGCACGAAAAATAAAAAATAGTCACAACATACTCCCAAAGGGTTACGAATTGTGAAAAAACAAATCCCCCAAAAAATCGTCACCAGACGTTTTTGTTGTTGCTATTCTTGAATGGTCCCCCTGTCGAGGGACACGTCCCGCCCTGGCGCCTCCTCGGCCATCCTCCGGACTGCCCGGAGCCCTCCCCGTCGCCCGGGCGGGGCCCGCCCCGACAAAGGAACGGGGGCCCCCAAACAGGGCGGTGACCACACCGTGTGGTGAGTCGGTGGGGATTCGGGGTCACCGCACGGCTTTGGGACTCGGGTCGTTCTACGAGGACGTATCGGGCGACTGGGGCATCCGAAGTCCCAAAATCGGGTCGGGCGAAAGGGGGGGATAGCAAAAGGGGGGGTTTGAGAATCAGCTCACATGGCTGATTTTCCCGGCGCCTCCCGGCGCCGGAGGCGGCTATGTATCGAGGAATGGGCCCCTCGGTGAGGCCGGAACCAGCTGCATGCAGCAAATTTTGTAACCCCCCTTTTCCGAATCCCCCCCTTCCCAGACCCCCGACGTAATGATTTTTTCATTACGTCGGGGTCCCGACCCTTTCCCCACGACCGGCTTTGCATCCTGAATCGTTTTTTGACGCTCCCGAGGGCTGGTTAGGGCCTCGAAAGGCCGAAAATGAAGGAAAACCTTCCGTCATGATTTTTTCATTACTCGAGGGGGTCTGGGTTTCGTCCGGCCCGACAAAGCCGTGCGCTGACGGACCGTGCGGTGAGGTCTTGGGGGATCTCGAGGTCACCGCACGGTCTGTCACCGCACCGTTTCGGGACTCCCAAAAGAAACCCTGACCTTCCAGAGAGCTATTTTTTAGCACTGGAGGCCTAAACACCTAAAAAACGAAACGAAACAGCCTAAAACCAAGACGCAGAATAGCTCTGGGATAGGTTTTTAGGTGAGGTGCTATTTTTTAGCCCTCCTGGAAGGTCAGGGTCGAGGCCACCGCACGGTCTGTCACCGCACCGCTTCGGGCTCCCCAACGAGCAAAACGGGCCAGGGTGGACCCCTGTGAGAGAGGTCCGGCGCCTTTCGAGCGGCGGGTCTTGGCCTGGCGGGAGCGCCGCCGCTGTCTCGACGGGTGGGGGGCGCGCAAGCACAGATTGGCGATCCACTGAAGGGGCCCTGGGACACACAAAAAATAAATACAGACAGATGACAGGATGCCCCATACTGTCCTGTATTTTCTGGGTTCTTGTCTTCCCCCCCCGCTTCCCGTATTTTCCCATATTTTCCTGGGGATCGACGATGAATTGTGTCTGTGTGCTTTTTCCCCTCGTGATCCATGGATCTGGCGCGCGGTCGCCAAATCCATGGATCGGGGGTGGTGCCCTCCCCCAAAAAATGCGAATTCTGCCGCCTCGCTCGGCGGCGGGAATCCGCCACTTCCCCTGGAAACGGGACCCGTCGCTGACCCACGCCTTCTTCATCCATGTTCGCGATCGCCCGAAACTGGCCCGCCTCCGGTTGGACCTCCCCACTCAGAGCGCACCAAGACAACTGTCGGGGAGACGTAAGACTCGGGGACTGGGGACTCGGATTGGCCTGACGGGGGCCATCATAAAAATGACGAGACCAAATCTGAAATTGGACGCGGGCTCGTCAAACAAAAGTCGGCAAAGCCACGAAAAAACCAGGACGCGCTCGTCAAACAGAAGTCGGCAAACCTGAGTTCCGGCTTACTCGAGTCCTACGTTTCCCCGAAACTGGCCCGCCTCCGATTGGACCTCCCCGCTCAGAGCGCCGTGGTCCCTTCGCGCCCGTCAGCCTCCCGATGTCCCCCCTCCCCCTCATCCTTCGGGCTGGGCGACAGGGGGGGATCGCAAAGGGGGGGGGGAGAATCAGCTCAGGTAGCTGATTTTCCCGGCGCCTCCCAGCGCCAAAGGCGGCCATATCGAGGAATGGGCCCCTCGGTGGGGCCGAAACCAGCTACACGCAGAACATGTCGTACCCCCCCCCCTTTCCCTATCCCCCCTCTCCCTCGCCCTGGTCCTGTCCGGCTTCGTCTCAGCATCTCTTCGCCCCCTCGTCTCTGCCCCTGTCCCCCCTCCCCTGCCCCTCGTCCTCCTCCTTCCCCGTCGGTCCTCCTCCTCCTACCCCCTCCTCCAACTGCCCTACATGATATTCCTCATCCCCCCGTCTCTTTCATTATCCCCCTCAATTCTGCCCTTCCTTCTGAAGCATGTCCTGATGATGGGCTGGAGCTCCGGCGGGAGCGTGTCGGCCATAAAGAACACGTCTTCCCCGCCACCATTAACCTTGATCCGCGTACCTCTACCGCTTGGAGGCCTGGAGGCTGTCAATTCTCCTTCGTAATTTGAGCAGCAAAAATCACGCGACAACTGTAGCCGCACTATCTTGCCGCTACTAGGCTTACGCCTGCCGTCGTGTTCGATGATAATGACGACGGCGGCCAACGACCTCGATATTTGCAGAGCCCCACCCCGAAGCACGAAAACCAGGACGCGCACTGCTATGACAATATTTCAACATATCTCGCCGCTGCGCCCCAGGACGAACAGGAGGACGGGGAGAAAGGGCCGCAGAGCGCCAGGGGCGGTGTCAGAGGCGCCGCGGGGGGGGGTCCAGCTCGGATCCAAAACTCCGCGCGGACCGTCGAAAGCTCATGCTTATGCCGCTTTTCAGTCCTCGGTCAACAACTTTCAGGGCCGCTGGGGGGCTTCGCCGAGGCCCAGGTCGGCAACCCGTCGCCCGCGCCCGGCCGGCGAGGGGCAGCGCGCTCGCTGCGCCAGGGGGCGCATGGTGCGTCCAGAGGCAAACCTTCGGGTGCTGCTGGACGTGCCACTGGCCCAAGGTGCCCCCAGGATTTCCAAGGAGCACCCCTCCCGGAGCCCAGAGGGCCCCAGGGGCTCCAAACGTGAGCGAAACTCTGGGGGCACCTGGGGCCAGGGGCACCTCTAGCAACCCCAGAACCCTTGGTCGCAGGTCGCCCGCATCGCTTGCATACTTGGGGGGGACAAGTATAATGACACGAACATACGACTTCGGAGGTCCGCGCGGATCCCTCGGATCGGCGCTGGTGCTCCCATGGCGGCGCCTCCGGCATCGCCCCCGGCGCGCTCCGCGCGCCAGAGAAGGGTGAACAGCGCCTATCCGGGAAATCCGCCCGCCCGGACCTACGTGGACGTTTGTCCCCGTGATATCCAGAACGTCCGAGTCGGGACTCATTTGCGGACGGGTGAGGGGTCTCCCTTGGGGTTGCATGGTCGAGCCGATCGGAGCCGCGCGCAGCCATCAGCACAAATATTCGAGACGGTCGAGTCGTGGACAGCCCGAAAGACAGGGCAGAGATGGCGGAGCCGCCCGCATAAAACCATAGCCCTTCTCGCGGTCAAACCGCAAGATCTTTCCGGACGTCATGCCGCCTGGACCCGACCTGCGCGGCAGAGGGAGGCTGGGGCGGAAATCTGCAAGGACAGGACTGATATGAGGAGCACCACCTGCCGTAAGAGCGACAGTTCCCCCGTGAGAACGTGTAGAAAACGATGGGCATCACACGCGCTACGCGGAGAGTGTATACCGTATACCAGCCAGGCGCCCGAAAAGTCAACATCAACAACGTGCATGAGGAGGAGAAAACAGATTCGCGCTTTCATCGTGAGTCCGCGACCCATTCGGTGTTAACTGCCGCGTCCCCATGACCCTGCCCCACCAAGCCCCATGGCGCAGCTCTGAGAGGGGTGCTGGGGAGTTACCCCAGCTCACCCAGGCCGTGGGGTGCCCTGGGAGTGGGGGGCCATCGGAGGGCGAGTTAGGGGGCCACATGCGAACCCTACCCCTACCCCCCCCCCCCGATTTCTGAGGGGGAGGGTGGGGTTCATGTCGTTCGGGAGCTCCCGAGCGAAGTGAACCCCACCCTCCCCCTCAGAAATCGTGGGGGGGTAGGGGTAGGGTTCACATTTGGCCCCCTACGAGTTGAGTTCAGCAGCAGCTCAAAACGGGTCCACGGACCGGTCCCGCGGTCCAGACGCACGACTTGTCCGAGCTGCGTCCGGCCGCGGCGACAAAGGGGCCCCGCGAAGGCCCCACGCCGCTGCTTCGACTTGCCCCCCTCCGAGGCCAAGAGGGGCGCTGCCCCCCCCCCCCCAGCTGTGTCCCCCCCGAATCCACCCCTGTGAACGAGGGGGCCCAGAAGGGGACACCGTGAGGGCACAGGCAGCCCCCACGCGCTCCCCCATTCTCATGTGACCTCGTCTCCATGAAGGGGGGGTGCAGTGACCGAAACCGTACCCGAAAATCTGCCCGAATGCGGCCGAAACCTCCGCGCGACTTTTCTCGGCCTGTGCCCGAGCGTGACCGAAGCTGTTGGGCCTGAACCACTACGACTTTCACTATCGATCGCACTTTCGGTCACACCACGTTTTCGGTTACACTTTCGGGCGCGATTGAGATCACATTCGCTCTGTCGATCACACACACACACACACACCGTGCACCGTGCCGATCCCCCGCACCCCCCAGTGCACACAGGAGGAACGGCGGGGTGTACCAGGGGCACGCCAGGGATCCATCGAACTCCATGGCCCCCCGTGCGCAAGGGAAGCCGCGGACGGTAAGCAGGCGGAGGGAGGAGGTCCACCCCCTCTTACTTCAGCCCTCGCACGCAGCGTGCGTCCACCACTCGATGCCGCAGCGGCCCTCCGTCCCCGTGGCCTCGGAGAGTGAGCGTGCGCGCGCGTGCGAGCCTAAGTGCACGCCAGGCAGCGGCCGAGCAAACCAGCAGGCGTCCAGGCAATCACGCCGCAGGAACGCAATCGCGCACCCATGGGAACGGTCTCATGTCCCCTCCTCCTCCCTGCCTCTCGCCACCGTCCTCCCCCAGAGGACTGCCCCTCCTCCTCCTCCTCCTCCTCCTCCTCCTCCTCCTCCTCCTTCTCATTATCATCCTTCTCTTTTTCCTCGCTGCAACTGCCGCGACAGAACGCCCGTGCTCACCGCCGCCTGCTGAGGCGACCCCACCGATACTGTTGACCCTGGCGGCCCTTCACGTGAGCTCCTCCCCTGTAATGCGCCAGGTCCCCCCTACCATTGACCCAGGCGGCCCCTCCTCGTCCTCCCCCTCCCTCCATCCCTCTCCCCTCCCTCCCTCCCTCCAACCCTCCTCCTCCCCCTCCTCCCCCTCCTCCTCCTCCTCCTCCTCCCTCCTCCTCCTCCTCCTCCTCCTCCCAACTCCTCCCCCTCCCCCTCCCCCTCCTCCTCCTCCCCTCCTCCTCCTCCTCCTCCTCCTCCTCCTCCTCCTCCTCCTCCTCCTCCTCCTCCTCCTCCTCCCTCCTCCTCCTCCTCCTCCTCCTCTCCTCCGTCCTCCTCCTCCTCCTCCTCCTCCTCCTCCTCCTCCTCCTCCTCCTCCTCCTCCTCCTCCTCCTCCTCCCGTGAGCTCCTCCCCTGTAATAGTGTTCCAGGTCCCCCCCTATGATGTACGGGAGCGCGTGTGTGCGCGCAAAGGTGGCTATCTCGAACTGCGCCGAAGATTAGATTCATTGCAGCCTGCGTCGCCTTTATTATGGGCGGAGATGATGGGTGCACTCTGGCCGTGGAGCCGTAGCAAGCAGCCCATCCTCCTCCTCCTGCTCCTGCCCCTGCTCCTGCTCCTCCTCCTCCGCCTCTGCTCGCGTACTCCAGATTTCGTAATAAAAGGGAGGGGGTCTGGACCCTCCAAGACAAGCCATTTCAGACCTCCCCCGTGGGAGAACCCTCCAAAACATCGTCCCCAGACCCCCCAGGCCCTCCAAGATAGCCTGGAAGAGACCCCACCCGAAATGAGACCTCCCTTTATTACGAAATCTGGAGTACCCATCCACGCCGCTGGGCCTCTGAACCACAAGTTAGCGACAATTGCGCAGTTCGCAGCCATCCAGGCAACCGGGAGGTCGCGGCGGAGTCCGCGAACTCCTCCGTCCCGCTGGAACTCCCGGAAGCTGGCGAAAGTGGCGACAGTTGCGCATTTCGCAGACCTCCCCCAGGGGGCGCGAGGTCTGGGTCAGGTCTGCGGACAGCCCCACTCCGCTGGACCGTCCAATAGCCCAAGATCGCGGCGACAATTGCGCACTTCGCAGCCACTCCGAGAGCCGCGAGGTCTCGACTGAATCTACGTGTAACTCCACTCCACTCCTCCAGACCTCCCAGGAGCCAACGAAAGCGGCGACAATGGCGCACTTCGCCAGTCCCCCAAGAAGCCGCTGGGTCTCAGCTGGGTCTGCGTACAATTCCTCTCCGCTGGACCGTCCAGTGGCCGAAGAACATTGCGCCAATTGCACCATTCGCAGCCCTCCAGGAAGCTGCAGGGTCTCAGCTGGATCTACGCGTAATTCCGCTCCTCCAGACCTCCCAAGAGCCCGCGAAAATGTCGACAAATGCGCACCTCGCAGCTCCCCAGGGAGCCGCGAGGTCTCGGCTGGATATGCGCGTCCCCCGACTCCGCTCGAGCGCCCAGCAACGCGGGCATGGGGAAACGTCTAGGACGGGCGGGGGGGGACTAGACTGTTGCCCAGCGGGGGTGAGGAAACGTTTGGGACGGGCGGGGAGGACAATACTTTCGCCCAGAGCGCGCACGGAAACATCGAGGGCCAGCGGGGAGGACTAGATGTTTACCACGTGGTGCGGACGGGAAATTTAAAACAGGCGGAGGGCGACTGAAACGTTGCCCAGCGAGCGCGGGGAAAAGTTCAGAACGGGCGGGGGGGGACTTGACTTCTGCCCAGCGGGCGGCGGAGGTTGGGAAGAGTCTAAGACGGGCGGGGGGGGGACCAGACTTTTGCCCAGCGGGCGCGGGAGAAGTCGAGAACGGGCGGGAGGAAATCTATTTCTGCCCAGCAGGCGCGGCAGAAAAGTTTAGGACGGGCGGAGGGGACTAGACTTTTTGCCCAGCGGGCGTGGGGAACAGTTCAGGACGGACGGGGGGGACTAGACTTTGCCCCGCGGGCGCGGGGAAGAGTCTGGAACGGGCGGGGGGGGGCTAGACTTCTGCCAAGCGGGCATGGGCAATAGTATAGTCTAGGCTGGGCCAGGGGGGGGACTAAAACTTTGCACTGCTGGCGTGGAGAGAACTCTACGACGGGCGGGGGGGACTAGACTTTTGCCCAGTGGGCGTTGGGTAAAGTATAAAACGGGCGGGGGGGGACTAGACTTTTGCCCAGCGGGCGTGGGGAAAAGTTGCGGACGGGCGAGGGGGGACCAGACTCTTAGCCGGCGGGCGCCAGGAAAAGCTCAGGACAGGCGGGGGGACCAGACTTTTTTCCTAGCGGGCGTAGGGAAGCGTTCAGGACGGGCGGGGGGGGGGCTAGACTTTGTTGTCCAGCGGGCGTGTGACTACCTACCAGACCACCCCAATCCCAACCCGAAGACCCAAATTTCGGGCTGGCGGGGGGTACGGGTTCCACATGTGGCCGTGTTTTCACAATGTCCCCCGACCTCTTTTGTGTGGGACGGGGATGGCAAATTGAAGCTTTTGAGTTGGGTCAGGTCGGGCCTGTCCCCCATACAGGGGGATTTTCGACGACGATTAAATACACTAAAAATGCTCCCAAATGGTCACAAAATCCATTTTAGGATTATCGTTGGACTATGTTTGGGGTATTTGTTATTTTTCGTCGAACATCCCCCTGTAGGGGGACAGGCGCGACTTAAGAGTTGGGCTGGGGTGGCTTGGTGGGTGGCGGGCGTGGGGGCAAATTGGGCGCCCGAGTTATCCGGGGTAACTCGGGTCCGGGGTAACTCGGGTTTGGATTCCCGAAAAAGGAACCCGAGTTAGCCCTGACCCGAGTTACCCCTGATGATGTGGGGCTCTGGACGCCCGAATTATCCGGGGCAACTCGGGTTCGGATTCCCGAAAAACGAACCCGAGCCCAGACCCCCGACGTCATGTTTTTTTCATGACGTCGACCCCCAGAGATCTCGACCCATTCCCCGGGACCGGTTTCTCATCCTGAGTCGTTTCTTGACGCTCCCGAGGCCTGGTGAGGGCCCCCCGAGGCCGAAAATTAGGAAAACCTCCCGTCAGGATTTTTTCATTACCCGAGGGGGTCTGGGACCCGAGCTACCCCTGACGATTCGAGGCGCTGAGCAAGTGCAGCACGGGCGACGCGGCCGCAGGCCGAGAGGCTCCCAGGTCCGAGACCCCGGGAGCCCGCCGGGGCGCCAGGGCCCCAGGCGCCGGGATCCGAGGCCGGAGGCCTCCCACCAGGGCGGGACCTAGACTTGAAGTCGGGCCTGTCCCCCTACAGGGGGATTGTCGACGAAGAATAAAACAAAGCCCCAAAAATGCACCAAAAAGGTCACAAAATACTCAAAACCTAGTTCCCAGGCTATGTTTGGACTATCTTCGGAGTATTTCTTTTCTCCCATAATTCTCGTGAACAAAAGCCTGTAGGGGGACAGGCCCGACTTAAGGCTGGACCTAAACGCTGCTTTTCGTTATGTTGTCACTGTGCCGTTCGTTTTGCTCTATTGGTTCTCCTGTACTCTACCTCCCTGCCCAAACGAAACACAAAACGCAGCCGAGGTCCAGCAAAACAGCGTTTAGGTCCAGCCCTGCTCCCAGGAGGTCTTCCACCTGCCTGTGGTCGATCAGCTCGCCTGGCGCCGAGTGCTTTGTATTTATATACGCACATACAGTAGGGGCTCGACCACAAGACACCTTCCACAAGAAACCCAACCGTGAGACCCCAGGACGTTCCATGCTTTTCGGTGTGGGAACGTCACGCTTTCCATGGCAAAACCATCGAGACCCAACAAACACACAGCACCCTGGAGGCAAGCAGGGTGTTTCTTGGCATCGGTCTCCACTATACACTTCCCTGGCCACCCGAGCCGAACAGTCTCCGGCGGCCACCGCAATGAGCTGCGAGAGCCCCGCGAAAAACAACATCGTGGACTCCCTCCTGACTGGATCTGCATGTATCACCATCCCGCTGGACAGCCCAAGGAGCCTACGAGAATGGCAACATTTACGCAGTTCGCAGCCACCCAGGGAGCCGCGAGGTCTCGGCTGTATCGGCGTGCCCCCCGACTCCGCTGGGTCTCCCAGGCGCCCACGAAAGTAGCGACACTTGGGCACTTCGCAGCCCCCCATGGGGGAGGAGGAGAAATAGGATGGCGCGGGGGGGGGGAGGAGGAGGAGGAGGAGGAGGAGGAGGAGGAGGAGGAGGAGGAGGAGGAAGGAGGAGGAGGAGGGAGGAGGAGGAGGAGGAGGAGGAGGAGGAGGAGGAGGAGGAGGAGGGGAGGAGGAGGAGTTTTTTTTTGAGGGCGCCCCGAAGCGGACGCCGAGGTCGGCCGCCCGCGGCCCCCCGCCCACCCGTCCAGGACCTTGAGGAGGTAGGCAGCACCTGGAGGGGAGAGGGAGGGCGCAGCCCCCGAGGGGAGGCTGCCCCGTCGCCCTCCCCTGTCCTGCCGTGGCACGCAGGTCCACGACAGGCCCAATGCCCCGAAGGTCTACCCAGCGTGTCCAGGGAGCCAGCGCCCATGACGGCCATGAAGTGCCGGCGAGCTTGTCAGGATCCACGCAGCCGCAGTCGGCGACGAACAGGCCGGTGGAGCCCATCAGCGGCACGACGAGGAGGAGGGGTCGGAGGTCTCGCACACATCGTGGGCACTCACCTCGACCTTGTCCCCATCAGGGTAGATCCCCACCTCGAAATTGGCCTCCCCCGCGACAGACAAGATAATGCCGCCTCGGCCACTGAAAACTCCTTCCATCACATTTGCAAACCGTCGCACAAAGAGATCCAATGGCCAGGCCGAGCGTTGACAAACTTCCCAGATCGAGGCAGGGCCATCAACCTTGTCGTCACTGTGAGGGCAGTGATGCCTGAAAAGAATCTCCCGCCTGAGCCGCGGAACAGCAGGTAAGGGACTGTCAGCATGATGATAAAGCGCCTGGCCAGGGATGGCTCCCTTACATTGCTGTTCCTCGGACACCGTGGGTAGCCGCAAGCAGGTAGCCTTGATCAGGTGTGTGGCCATGGAGAACACGCTCACAGGAGTGATCTCTACGAACTGATTCCAAGCCTTTTGGTATTTGTCACAGCCACTAATAACCACCATTTCACCATTGAGGCGGCTGTGTAGAGTATCCACTCGCGCATGCCTCCCGATCATCCTGTCCAAGTCCCAACCTTGCCCTCGACAAAACTCGGCAACTGTAAGCTGAACGGCAGGAGCAGCAGGAACTGGAGCAAGACCTGGAGCACCAGCAGATCCTTCAGCAGGAAGGGGTGCTGGAGGCCCCTCTGGAGCAGGGGGCACACCATCCTGACGATGTGCAGCGTCAGGAGCAGGCGCAGGGAGAGACTTCGTCATCACGTCGACGTCTGCCTGTATCGCCAGGAACATATCCTTGATCTCGCTAGGTAAAACTTCCTCAACTTTTCCAGGAGAGCAATCTGGTGCACGACCAGGGGCGAGAAGAAGATCAGAACTAGGTAGCCCAGCACAGGGTAGGTCAGCACCATCAGGACCCGCAAGTAGCAACAACTCCTCAATGGTCATCCCGTCGTCCTCGAGTAAGAGCTCCTCCACCTTCCCAGTGCCATCATCAGGTGCACGACCAGGGGCGATAACATGGTCCTCTCCGATCGGCACGAAGACCTTCGCATCAGAGTTGAAAGGAAAGGCCGGAATCGCAGGCAGATCAGCAGGAGTATGGCCATGGTCAGCATGACGCCGAGGACGCTTGGCATCGTCCCAAGAACTATGATCATTACCTCCACCAGCAGGCCCAGCAGCAGCAGAAGACCACGGGTCCAGACCCGTGCCATGCCAAGGGTCACGCAATCGGCGACGAACACGGCCTCCAGGGTGATCATCTGGTCCATCATCCTCGTCTCCTCCATCATGTCCGTCGGGCCCCACAGGGGGGGGCATCAGCGGGTCCAGCGACAGCCCGAAGTTGAAGAGAGATGTGGGCCTCTCCTCGGCTGTTCTTGTGGCCGTGGTCCACCGAGACGGCCCAGGGGAGCGAGCCAATCACCGAGTAGATGAGGTCGATCAGAATGGCGTTCTGCGTCTTGTCGTCTACCTCGGGGAGGAGGACGATCTGGAGCAGCAAACGGTCAGTATGTGAGGCCAATCGGAAACGAGCCTTTCGCCCAGCCCGTAGCTGCGCGAGAATCCAATCGAGCCTCGCAGCCACGACCATCCACGGGGCGAAGCGGGGGGGCCCTGCACGTGCAGAGCGGCGGTAACTCGGGATGCGAGCAAGTGCTCGAGCCCAAATGGTTACTAGGAGGAGGAGGAGGAGGAGGAGGAGGAGGAGGAGGAGGAGGACGAGGAGGAGGAGGAGGAGGCGGAGGAGAAGGAGGAGGAGGAGACCCGTGGGAGCCCAAGACTCATGACCGATGCTGGAATAATCCCTCTCTCCCAGCTCCCTCGTCACAGGCCCCTACTCCCAATTCCCTCCCAACTCTCTCCTTCCCAACTCTCTCCCTCTCTCCCAACTCCCTCCCAACTCTCTCCCAACTCCCTCTCAACTCTCTCCCTCTCTCCATTTCCGCTGAGGGAAGCGCCCCGTTGTGAAACAACCGTGTGAAACACATCCTGAAGGACTTGAGCGCTGTCAATCTATGACTGTTGCGTCTTGACGACCGTGAGCCGTGCCAGAATGCCATACCTGGGAGGTCAACGCCGCGAATCAACGTACCCGTTGCGCCCTGGCAGTCCTGAATCGCTGCAACACGCAATACCTGGCAGGTTACCCTTGAGTGCACAAGAACTTCCTGCAAGTTTTGAAGACGACTACGCGCGGCGCAAAGGCGAGAACCACAAATTGAAGAGGACTCGCCCTCAATCTGCGAATCTCTTGCAATATGTTAAAACTGGTGTGCGCGGATCTACGGCGAGGGCCACATGTTGAAAACAGCCCGCCTTCAATCCGTCAAACTCATTGAACATTTTGACACCGACTGCACGCGGCAACGTGGCGAGCACCACATTTTGAAAAAGAACCGCCCTCCACCTGCGAAACTCTTGCAAGTTGTTTAAATGGCTGTGCGCGGCGCCAAGGCGAGAGCGGCGAGAGCCACATTTAAAACACGGGCCGCCATCAATTCGTGAAGCCCTATCGAAGTGTGCAAACACATGTGCGCGGCGCTGAGGCGAGAGCCACATTTTGAAAACAACCCACCCTCCATCTGTAAATATGGTGTCGATCTTGAAACTTCAGGATCATAAATGGTGAAGAAAATCTGGCCCACCCCTCCGCATGGCCTCGGGCGCGACGGGGAGAAGATTGTCCTTCATAAGGAACAGGAGTGGAAGAGGAGGAGGAGGAGGAAAAGGAGGAGGAGGAGAGGCAGGAGGCGAATATCGAGGAAGAGAAGAGGGGGGAGGAGAGGTGACGGAGACCACCGTGCTCCCAGGGAGCAGCGCAGGAGGAGGAGGAGGAGGAGGAGGAGGAGGAGGAGGGGAAAGGAGAAGAAGGTGGAGACCACAGTGCTCGATCCAAAACGAGACCCCAACACAGGAGGGTTGGGAACAAGACGAGGACCATGACCAAGATCGAATGCGGAACGCTGGTGCCGATCTTGGCCACCGCCCATCTTTGGCCATGGACCACCCTCGCGTGCCGGCGACGGCCGGCATGGCCCATGACCAAGATCGGCATCGACAACACCTCGCGGCATCTTGGCCATGGCCCCCGAGGGCGGAAAAACTCCGAGCATCGGCACGAACACGCCCGAAGACCCCAGACCTCGAACCCCTTGGGAGTGCCGCCGCCGTCCCCTCGCCGCCCGCCCCCGCGCGCCTGCGCGCAGCTCGTCGCCGCTCGTCGACGCCGTCGCCGCCGCAACCGCCGCCGCCGCCGCCGTCGTCGTCGTCGCCGCCGTCGTCGTTGTCGCCGTCGTCGTCGTCGTCGTTATCGTCGGCGTCGCGTCCTTGTGGTCGTTGTCGTAGCGTCGTCGGCGTTGTCGGCGGCGCGCCGCCCTCGCCAACCGATCCGCGGCGGCGGCCCGCGGCTCCGAGGCGGGCAGCCCGCCTGCCAGGACCGCCGCCGCCGCCCCGCGGGCCCCCGCGGAGGACGACATGGTCTGGCGGCGGGGCGGCGAAGCGGCAGCGGCCAGGGGCGTGGGCGAAAAACGTGTATCCTCCTCCTCCTCCTCCTCCTCCTTCTCCTCCTCCTTCTCCCCCTCCTCCTCCTCCTCCTACTCCTCCTCCTCCTCCTCCTCCTCCTCCTCCTCCTCCTCCACCCTCCTCCTCCTCCTCCCCTCCTCCTCCTCCTCCTCCTCCTCCTCCTCCTCCTCCTCCTCCTCCTCCTCCTCCTCCCCCCTCCCTCCCCTGCTCCCTCCCTCCCTCCTGCTCTCCTCCTCCTCCTCCTCCTCCTCCTCCTCCTCCTCCTCCTCCTCCTCCTCTCCTCCTCCTCCCTCCTCCTCCTCCTCCCCCTCCCTCCCCTCCTCCTCCCTCCCTCCGGCTCTCCCTCCTCCTCTCCTCCTCCTCCTCCTCCTCCTCCTCCTCCTCCTCTCCTCCTCCTCCTCCTCCTCCCCCTCCTCCTCCCCTCCCTCCCTCCTCTCCCTCCTCCTCCTCCTCCTCCTCCTCCTCCTCCTCCTCCTCCTCCTCCTCCTCTCCTCCTCCTCCTCCTCCTCCTCCTCCTCCTCCTCCTCCTCCTCCTCTCTCCCCCCTCCCCTCCCCCTCCCCCCCCCTCCCCTCCCCTCCCCCCCTCCCCCTCCCCCTCCCCCCCCTCCCCCTCCCCTCCTCCTCCTCCTCCTCCTCCTCCTCCTCCTCCTCCTCCTCCTCCTCCTCCTCCTCCGCCTCCACCTCCTCCTCCTCCTCCTCCTCCTCCTCCTCCTCCTCCTCCTCCGCCTCCACCTCCTCCTCCTCCTCCTCCTCCGCCTCCCTCTCCCTCCCCCTCTCCCTCCCCCTCCTTCTTCCCTCCCTCCCTCCGTCCGGGCTCCCTTTGGGGGCGCCTGGGGACCCGTTTGGAGCGTCTGGGGGGCTGAGCCTTCGTGGAGAGCCTTGAGAGCGTTGTGGGCACTCTGGAGCCGACCACGGGCGCAGGGGAGTGATTTTTCAACGACTCGGGGGGCGACTCGGTACCCTTTTGGGCTGTCCTGGAGGTGCCTCCGGGCGGCTTCGGGGCCTCTTGGGCAGAGTGGGCGCCCTTGGGGGGAGCCCACGAAACAGTCTTGCGAGTGTTGGTGCCTCTGGGGCTGGCTTCTAACACCTGCGGGCCGAGGAGACGGGAGCCTGAATGAGGTCGGGCGTGTCCCCCTGCAGGCGGACTTTGGAAGAACAGTGGAACATAGCCAGAACATTTTCAAAAATCACAAAAGTACTCGAGACTCGTCAGAGCTTCGGAGGCCCGCGCGGATGTCTTGGATCGGCGATGGGCACCTCTCCCTGGCGCGCGGAGCGCGCCATGGGGCGGCGCTGGAACGGCTGCCACGGGAGGGGTCCAGCGCCGTGCGGGAACCTCTGCGCGGATCGCCAAAAATCGATGTTTACAGTGGAGGCCAGTCCACAGAACACCTTTTCCACAGGAAACCCAACCCTGAGACCCCAGGACGTCCGTTCCTTTTCGGTGTGGGCACGTCGCACTTTCCACAGCAAAACCATCGAAACCCAAGAAACCCACGGCACCTGTGGTCGATCAGCTCGCCTGGCGCCGAGTGCTTTGTATTTATATATACATATAGACATATAGATACACCTACAGAAGGGGCTCGACCACGAGGTGTGGGCACGCCGCACGTTCCACAGCAGAACCATCGAAACCCAAGAAACCCACGGCACCCTGGAGGCAAGCAGGGTGTTTCTTGGCATCGGTCTCCACTGTACACTTCCCTGGCCACCCGAGCCGAACAGTCTCTGGCGGCCACCGCAATCAGGTGCGAGAGCCCCGCGAAAAACAACATCCTGGACTCCCTCCTGACTGGATCTGCATGTATCGCCATCCCGCTGGACAGCCCAAGATGCCTACGAAAGTGGCGACATTTACGCAGTTCGCAGCCACCCAGGGAGCCGCGAGGTCTCGGCCACCCAGGGAGCCGCAGGGTGTTTCTTGGCATGGGTTTCCACCGTATCCCTCCTGACGTTCCCCCCTGGCTTTCGAGCCAATGCTCGGCTCTCCAGCGGCCGCGCGGGACGAATCGGGCAGCCCAGGACCTTTCTCGGCGAGGCGCTTTCTCGGCGAGGCGCAGCTGCTGGAAAACATCCCGAAGCTGGAAAGCCGCGGAGAGTGGGGCAACCAAACGGGACCGATACCGCTAGTCCCCGGACCTCTCCGGGGGTGCGTTCTGACCAGGAGTCGAGGCGAGTCCAGCCGTGGGGACGAGGGCCTCCCAGGACGCCAAACAAGGCGAATGCGAGGGAAAGGTAGCGGTATGGGTATTCCGAGTTTCTTAATAAGCGTCGGGGGGGCGCCAGCCCGGCCGACAGCCCCACAAGGACCCCCGCCGCGGGCAGCCACTGCAGGCCGAAGGCGCTCCGACCCCCGTCGCGGCGCGACGGCGAGGCGAGGTTGACCCCCCGTCGGGGGGGTCCCCCCCACGCTTGTTACGACACCCAGAGCACCCATCCCTCCTCTGAGAGAGCGGATGGAGCTGCCAGAAGATGTCATCCCAGGAGAGCCCATAATCGAATCGATAAATCGGATCGGCGATCGAAATGAATCGGATCGGCGGAAATCGGCAGCCGAGTCGGGAAAAGTCGGATCGGCGGAAATCGGAAGGCTACTATGCGTCCCATAAGAAGTCGGAATCCAAATCGGAATCCCAAGTCGAATCGAATCGGAATCGGAAGCCATCGAAATCGAATCGAATCGAATCGGAGGAGTCGAAATGAGCCCTGTCATCCTGACGTTGCCCCTGCTCAGGGAGCCAAAGCCTTCGTCCCGGGGCGGCGCCGCCGACTCGAAGGCGGCGTCGAGGCGCGGGCAAAAGGGGTCGGCCTGCATCGCTCGGACGCCGTCTCCCCCGCCCCTTTTGGCTGGCTTCGCGCGCGATGGTTCCTCCTCCTCCTCCTCCTCCTCCTCATCCTCCTCCCCCTCCTCCTCCCCCTCCTCCTCTACCTCCTCCTCCTCCTCCTCCGAGATGCTCCACGATTCGGTGGCAACTCATGGGAGCCTCCCATAGCATCTTGCCGGCTCCTGCGAATCGACGCCAGTCGACGCTAAATCGACGCTACATCGACGCTAAATCGGGCGCTGGCCCATCAACTCCCAGACGCTAATCGCAGGGGGCCACGTGCGAACCCTACCCCTAACCCCCCACGATTTCTGAGGGGGAGAGTGGGGTTCACTTCGCTCGAGAGCTCCCTCGTGAGGGGTAGGGGTAGGGTTCGCACGTGGCCCCCTAGATCGACGCAAGTCGACGCCAAGCACAGAATTGAGAGGGCATACCAGGCTCCCATGGATTGCATCTGGCGCTGGCCTCGCAGGGAACGGGGCACACGCCCGAGCGATGCCATGCCTAAATTTAGGTCGGCCAGGTCCCCCTACAGGGGGATTTTGGACGAAAGCACAGATTCAGACACGTTCGATAAAAATGGCCCGCTGGACTACTTCCGAATACTCCTCCTGTAGAGGGACAGGCCCGACTCTTGTGTCTGAATTTGGATGCCCGAAAGAGGGCACGGACAAAAATGGGCACGATGCCCATCGACCCAACAACACATGCTGTGCCAGACCGACAGCAGCCGCTGTTGGGCAGGCGGCCTCCTTTCCTGTCTCAAGTGGACCTCGCCCGCGGTGGCACCGGAACGGCGGGCCCTGCCCGAAGGAAAAGGAGAGGCTGTCGACCTTTATTGCCTCTTCTTCCCGTACCCATTTCGATCCTACCGACCCTGACGTTGCCCTTGACACAGACCCCCGACGTCATCATGGCTTGTTCCTCAACGTCGACCCCCCGTGGTCTCGCTCGACCCTGTCCGACGGTCCCGGGGCCTGGCAAGGGCCCCAAGAGGCCGAAGGTTGTGATTTTTCTCAACACTTGAGAGGCTCCCGGGCAGGGCTCGACCAAAACAGTGTTGTTCGTTTTCGTTTCGCTCTCGTTTTCCCTCGTTCTGTCTTCGTTCCGCCTTCGCTACAAAACGAAGTTGAAACGAAAATTGCCAACAGAATCGCCAACACACCGTTTAGGTCGTGCCCTGGTTCGGAGATCCTGACCCGGGTCAATCCAGACCGGGGCCAGTCAGGCCTTGCAGAATCCTGCAGGATCCTGCAGGGTCCAGGATCCTGCACCCAAGCCCAGGCCAGTGCGCCCCTGGCCCTGCAGGATCCTGAAAGATCTGGCGCCCTGACTGACCCCGTTTGCATTGACCCCCGCCCCTTGAGCCCCGACTGGTCTGGGGCTTCTCGCCAGATGGGGCTCGTTGACCATGCAAAAGACGGCAAAAAGGATTGCGAGGTCTTGATTGAACAATACCTAGCATTTTTGAGCGATTTCGTCCCGATGTCCTCTTGTGGCTAGTTGTTCTTCCTCCCCCTCTGCATGTCCATGTATGTCTTCCGGGTTCTAACTTTCGCTCAGTTGTTCCTGATGTACAGCTCCCAGACCCCGACGTCATGACTTGTTCATAACGTCGACCCCGAGAGTTCTCGACCACTTCCCCGGGGCAGGTTTCTCATCCTGCGTTGTTTTTTGACGGCCCCGCGGGCCAGTCAGGGCCTCCAGTGGCCGAAAATAATAATGAAAAAAACCTCACGTCGCGATTTTTCCTAACCCGAGGGGGTCCGGGATCGTTAGAGGGCTCTTTGATGGGGTCGGAGTAGATGGGGTCGGAGGACCGCGCTGCATCGCCGATACATCTACGATACATCGGCGATGCATCGGCGATGCTTCGGCGATGCACCGGCGATGAGGCGTCGACGCGGGCGATGCATCGGTGACGTCGACGTGGAGGAAGTCGAACTCCATATCGAGCTGCATGGGCGATGCGGCGCGATCCTCAGACCCCACCTACTCCGACCCCATCTAAGAGGCCCAGAATGAAGTCGGGCCTGTCCCCCTACAGGATGACTTTGTGCGAAAAATGAAAAGTACCCCCCAAATACCCCCCAAAGAATAATCAGAAAATAGTCCCCTGACTAATTGTTGACTATCTTTGAACATCCCCCCTGTGGAGGGACAGGCCCGACTTCGGCCTAGAATCGTGGGGTCTGGGGCTCCTCCCCGCCGTCGCCGCGCGGGGCACGAATTACCAGCCTAAAACATATCCCTATCCCTATGCTGGGCACCTCCTCATCACGATGCCAATCTTAGGGATTCCCCTAGTTTTTGGGCGATAAATTTTAAAAATAGCCTGGCGAAGGACCCAACCATATGCAGCTGTGAGTACCGCAATAGTGAACATCTTCTTCGGTGCGGCGCCGCCATGCCAACGCAGCCACTGGGAGTTTCGGTGGAGCTCCCTATGGAGCCACGAAGCGTGTGAGGGGTGTGCCGAAATGGGTGCGGCGCCGCCATGCTAACGCAGCCACTGGGGCCTTCGGTGGAGCTCCCTATGGGGCCACAAAACGTGTGAGGGGTGTGCCGAAATGGGTGCGGCGCCGCCATGCCAACGCAGCCACAGGGGACTTCGGTGGAGCCCCCTATGGGGCCACGAAGCGTGTGAGGGGTGTGCCGAAATGGGTGCGGCGCCGCCATGCGAACGCAGCCGCTGGGGCCTTCGGTGGGGCTCCCTATGGGGCCACGAAACGTGTGAGGGGTGTGCCGAAATGGGTGCGGCGCCGCCATGCCAACGCAGCCACTGGGGCCTTCGGTGGAGCTCCCTATGGGGCCACGAAGCGTGTGAGGGGTGTGCCGAAATGGGTGCGGCGCCTCCATGCGAACGCAACCACTTGGGCCTTCGGTGGAGCTCCTTATGGGGCCACGAAACGTGTGAGGGGGTGTGCCGAATGGGTGCGGCGCCGCCATGCCAACGCAGCCACTGGGGCCTTCGGTGGAGCTCCCTATGGGGCCACGAAACGTGTGACGGGTGTGCCGAAATGGGTGCGGTGACGAGGGAGGGGGCAGCGGGAGGAAGGAAGGAAGGAGAGGAGACGCGGGGTCTCTTCAAAACGAGGACCCAACACCACAGGATGGTTGGGAATTAAGTCGGGCCTGTCCCCCTACAGGATGACTTTGGGCGATAATTGTTTTAAACAATACCCCAAAAATAATCAGAAAATTGTCCCCTGGCGTGCTAAGATCTCCGGTAACTGGTTAACAATTTTCTAGTTCGCGCGCGCGGGGCGGCCCCTGGGGGTCCCCGGACGAAAAGTACCCCGACCAGGTCCCGGCCGGTCCCCGGCCGGGTCCCGGCCGGGTCCCCCCGAGCGCTCCATGAGCGCACCAACAGGGCTCCGAGACGTCCCCGAGAGCCCCAAGAAAGGCCAAGAGGCCCCCAAGAGGCCCCCAAGATGGTACACGAGGGGTCCGACATGCCACAAGATCGCTCCAAGACGCCCAAGATAGCCCCCAGACGCCCCAAGAGGCCTCCAAGAGCACTCCCAATAGGGCCCCCGGAGGCAAAATTCATTGTTTTTCCATAGGTTTTTGAGAGATTTTGGAGCTTCCACCTTTTCGGCTTCCCGACGCCCCAAGACGGCCCAAGAGGCCCCCAAGATCGCCCCAAGAGGGCCCAAGAGGCACCCAAGAGGGCCCCAAGATGGCCCAAGAGGGCTCGAAGACGGCCCAAGAAGCCTCCAAAACGGTCCAAGAGGGCCCCAAGAACGCCCCCAAAGGGGCCCCAGAGAGGGAACACGAAACAACATTTCGAGCCCTCGGCCCTAAGAAGCCCCTACGAGGCCCCTAAGAGGCCCCAAGAGGCCCCCACGGGGCCCTCAGGAGGCCCCCAAGAGTCCCCCAAGCGGCCCCAGGAGGCCCCCCAAATGCCCCCCCGAGCGCCCCAGGAGTCCCCCAAGCGGCCCCAGGAACCCCCAAAGCGCCGCATTGACACCAGGCCCTCGGGCAAACGGCAGACATGAGACTGTATGGGCCGGCGGAATGAGCGAAGCGATTAAATAATCAGAAAATTGTCCCCTGACTATGTGTTGACCATCTCTGAGCATCCCCCCTGTAGCGGGACAGGCCCGCCTTCGGCCTAGAATCGTGGGGTCTGCGGTTCCTCCCCGCCGTCGCCGCGCGGGGCGCGAAGTCCGGGCCACAGCTATATCCACATCCAGTGCGTCTTGGAGCTTTGGGCTCTCTTCCCCTAACCGGAGGCGCACTGGATGTGGATAAAAGTCTTGCCCCACAAGGTTCGATTATTACCCATATCCAGTGTGCCTCGGCCTTGCGGCACCCCTTCCCAACAAATCCACGACGCTCTGGATATGGATATAAATATTGCCCGCAGGAAAGGGTCCGCGGCCGGCCTGCCCTCGCCTTGCCGTCGGGCGTGTGCGAGAGCTCGAAGGTGACCTGGGCGCGCGGGCCGCGCGGGCTGGCGCCCCCCGGGGGCGCCGCGGCGGCGCGCGCGGCGGCGGGGAGGCGGGCGCGGGGGCGGGAGGGCCTTTTTTGCTGGGGTGCGGCCGAGGAGGAGGAGGAGGAGGAGGAGGAGGAGGAGGAGGAGGAGGAGGAGGCGGCGACGGTGCACGAGTGCGGCGGCGGGCCTCGCGGAGCGAAAACAATACCCGCGGGCACCGCCGCCGAGCGGCGTGCACCCGTTGCGGGCGGGTGCCTTACTTCCGGGAACCACTGCGTGCGACCCGTTCCCGCTGGAAGTCGGCGGAACCATTCGATATGGGCGGGCAATTTCATCAGAATTGCGAATCGCATCAACGAGTTTGAGACAATGGCTCAAGAGCTCACCTCCGCGCTGGAAGCCATTGATTTTGCGTGGAAGGAGTCGTCTCTCGAAATTATGGCGTGTGGGGCCTTGACCAAGGAGGGCGTCCGTGCACCCGCTGTTTGGCAGACCGGGATGCCAGAGCCTCTTGTCTTCGCCGTCGTCGATCACATCATCCTCCTGGGCGCCCACATGCCCGCATTAACGAGGAGTCAGACATCGCTGCAGCAGTCGAACATCGGTTGGTTAAGGCAGAGACGCATCACTGGGCCCACGTGGGTGCATTCCGCAGCGGTGGCGCTGAAGGCGTGGGGCGCCGGGCCATCGGCAAGCCTGTTGTTGGGGTCGAACGCGTGGCATTTGAACCAACAACTTCTGCCGAGGTTGAAGACGGGGGATTGGCAATTCCTCCGGAAAGCGCTTCGCTTTCGGCGAAAACCTAGCGAGGGCTCACTGGCTGCCCACGTCCGCACCGCTGGGTTGATCAAGAAATGGCTCCACATGCATAACATGAAGCCACTCTACACCCGGGTGCTACGGTCGGTGTTCAAACACGCTTGGTGGGAGAAGTCTCTGAACAGTCATAATGGACGTAATCTCTTGACCGAGAGTAGAACATTCAGGTCGCGTGATTGGTGGGAGTATTTGAAGCACTTCCCAGAGTATCACAAGAGACGGCGCCTGACCATGCTGCATGCTTCTGGGTGCAATTTCTCTCACTGGGAGGATGTGTTATGTGAGCATTTGGGCGTCTGGTGGCGGACCGAGCGAGACGAGTGCGCTTCTCTGAGGGATTGGATGTCACACTTTGATGGGTTTGTTTTTTCTCTATTTACCTAACAGCGAAGACTGATAGGGTTCTAATAGGGTTAAAAAGAACATCATGACGCCCAAGGGGGGTCTGGGCGCGATGCCGGGGAGGATGCCGGGAACTCTTTTTTTTAGCCAGCAGTAACGCACTTCGTGGTCTTCGAGTTCCCAGAACTCCATTCCTGGACATGATTTTGAATGCCCGGAACCAACTGTAGGCCACTTCGTGTTCTTCAAGTTCCCAGAACTCCATTCCTGGGCATGATTTTGAATGCCCGGAACCAACTGTAGGCCACTTCGTGGTCTTCGAGTTCCCAGAACTCCATTCCTGGGCATGATTTTGAATGCCGGGAGCCAACAGTACGCCACTTCGTGGTCTTCGAGTTCCCAGAACTCCATTCCTGGGCATGATTTTGAATGCCCGGAGCCAACTCTAGGCCACTTCGTGTTCTTCGAGTTCCCAGAACTTCATTCCCGGGCCACATTTTGAAGGCTGAGGCAGGCTGATGCTGAGGCTGAGGCAGGCTCAGGCTGAAGCAGGCTGAGGCTGAGGCCGAGGCTGAAGGCAGACTGAGGCTGAGGCTGAAGCAGGCTGAGGCTGAGGCTGAGGCAGGCTGAGGCTGAGGCTGAGGCAGGCTGATGCTGAGGCAGGCTGAGGCTGAGGCTGAGGCTGATGCAGGCTGAGGCTGAGGCAGGCTGAGGCTGAGGCCGATGCTGAAGGCAGACTGGCTGATGCTGAGGCTGAGGCAGGCTGAGGCTGAGGCTGAGGAGGCGCTGAGGCTGAGGCTGAGGCTGATGCAGGCTGAGGCTGAGGCAGGCTGAGGCTGAGGCCGAGGCTGAAGGCAGATTGAGGCTGAGGCTGAAGCAGGCTGAGGCAGGCTGAGGCTGAGGCTGAGGCAGCTGCTGAGGCTGGCTGAGGCTGATGATGCAGGCTGAGGCTGAAGCCCTGAGGCTGAGGTGAGGCTGAAGCGAGGCTGAGCTGAGGCAGGCTGAGGCTGAGGCTGAGGCAGGCTGAGGCTGAGCTCAGGCTGAGGCAGGCTGAGGCTGAGGCTGAGGAGGCTGAGGCAGCTGAGGAGGCTGAGCAGGCTGAGGCTGAGGCTGAGGCTGAGGCAGGCTGCTGAGGCTGAGGCTGAGGCTGAGGCTGAGGCAGGCTGAGGCTGAGGCAGGCTGAGGCTGAGGCCGAGGCTGAGGCAGACTGAGGCTGAGGCTGAAGCAGGCTGAGGCTGAGGCTGAGGCAGGCTGAGGCTGAGGCTGAGGCAGGCTGATGCTGAGGCAGGCTGAGGCTGAGGCTGAGGCTGATGCAGGCTGAGGCTGAGGCAGGCTGAGGCTGAGGCTGAGGCTGAGGCTGAGGCTGAAGGCTGAGGCTGAGGCTGAGGCTGAGGCTGAGGCTGAGGCAGGCTGATGCTGAGGCAGGCTGAGGCTGAGGCTGATGCAGGCTGAGGCTGAGGCAGGCCGAGGCTGAGGCCGAGGCTGAAGGCAGACTGAGGCTGAGGCTGAAGCAGGCTGAGGCTGAGGCTGAGGCAGGCTGAGGCTGAGGCTGAGGCAGGCTGAGGCTGAGGCAGGCTGAGGCTGAGGCTGAGGCTGAGGCAGGGTGAGGCTGAGGCAGGCTGAGGCTGATGCCGAGGCTGAAGGCAGACTGAGGCTGAGGCTGAAGCAGGCTGAGGCTGAGGCTGAGGCAGGCTGAGGCTGAGGCGGGCTGAGGCTGAGGCTGAGGCAGGCTGAGGCTGAGGCTGTGACTGCGACTGCCGTTGCCACTGCGCTTGTCATCGCGAATGCGACTACGACTGCGAGAACAGCAGACTTCTACAACTGGATTCTCATCTGAATCTTAAGGGGAATGCTTCCAGATATGTTCCTACACATCGCTGTTTGGTTGCTTTGCCGGGATAATTTTCGCTCTGCTGCGTCAGCCTTGGCTGCATCTCGCCTCACGTTACATATCTGCCTGGAGGAACATCGCTCATGTACGGACCCTTAGTAAGAATACGCCCAACAAAGATTAGAGTCCTGAAACTCTACAGTGCCAAGGAATTTTGACTGACAATTACTCAGGATGCTCCGAGAGCCGTGCCGGCGGGAGGCGGGGGGGAAGAAGAGAGCGCGGGCAACCACAAAAATACCTAAGGCTTCGGTGACCACGGCGCCCTTCACCTCTGGGGCGGCTGCGAGGCCATAGGCAACTACGTCGTCGAGGGGATGGGCGCATCTGATGATCCACCCCGAAGCCCCAGAGGAAGATTTACCTCGAAATCCCCCGCCCGACCAACAAATACAATTCGAGTGTAAAAGCTGGGGGGCCCCGGCATTCATGAGCACCCCCTGCAGCTCGGGAACATCTAAGCACACATTCGCCACACTCGCAACGTCTACGTTTTTGTCCCTCGCTCTGCACTCGACCGGGCCTCCCCAGTCCTGCGCGGGACGGAGGCCCAAGCAGACCAACGAGGCCAACAACCCCGACTGGGACCGCAGAGCGTCGGAACACATGTCCATTTTGGCCTTTCCCAATGCCGCGTTCGCCACGACCTCCGAATCAACTACGATTTTGAGCCGGCTCGAAGCAGAAGGAGGCCCCCAAACCCAAATCGCTGTCCAGGATCACGGGCGATAGATCGTAAGACACCTGCGAGCCCCGATCGCGCAAGGGAAGGCGCGGCGGGACGGCCCCGGAGAGCCGGCGCCGCACCGCCCGAAGGCTGAATGCCTGAGGCGATGTAGTCTCGGTGCATTTCGCCTTGTTCGATCCAAAAGCCACCGCGGACAACGACGAGGGGGCGTCGTCTTTCAGCTCGGAGATGGCACGCTGGGATATTGAGCCTATCTGACTCACCCGTGACTCCCAAGACCCCGGCGGGCCGCCCCAGGCCGGGCAACTCCACGAGCGGCACGCGTCGCTGACGACTGTGTCGCGCGTCGGCTTCCAAGCCCCCAATGCCGCGTTCGAGGGCTCCTCTCCATTCTGGCAGCATCTCATCGAATATACAATCGAGGCGTTGACCTAAGGAACCCTGAATAAGGAACGAGGCCCCTATTTTCCATAAGTTGAACTTCGATTTCGCATCGATCCAAGGCAAGCTGCGAAACAATTAAAGAACACGGAGCCCCTCCCCAACGAAAAAGGGTTCCTTCTTCAGGGCCCCGACTGTATCATGGTCTCCTCGGCGCTGCGTCCCAACAGATCGGGATCTCCATTCGCCCCCCCCCGTCAACCCAGTGACGCCCCCGCCGCCCAGGCCTTCTCGAGAAGCGGCCGGCGAGGCCCCGTGCAGGCGACCCCGAGTGCACAGGTACCGCATCGAGGATTTGCCCGCTTGCCACGTGTACGACGGCATCGACGAGGATACATTATCTTGGGAGTCCCGGGCCAACAGGTTTGTCATTGCGTGCGATTGCTAGCCTTTGGTGGACGTGGTAATGGGAAGAAATACTCCTGAGGGGCTGGGCAACACAGCGGTGTTTCACACGATCTGCTACAGTATTGCACGTTTACTTGACGCGGGGTGGCTGCCTCACCAGTACCATCAGGACCCCGTGGTATGGAACAACCGCAACCACAACGCGAAGGCCGACTGTATCGCCAACGTCACCCTGGACGCTGGGAGCTCGTGGCATGAATGAAGAGCACCATCTGCCACCAGGCGGCTAATTATGCGAGGCTGTATTGTTGGCTCATTGTGACGGTGGCCGACGGGGTCCTGGGTCAACGACTGCTGCATGGATCGTGGAAACGTTGTGGCCCGACGACACGTCTCATGTCATCGCGATGCCTGGCGTGCACTTGGACGGATATGCAGCATCGTCTCCTTTGACGCGGAGGCGTTGGCC